CAAAAGAAAATTTTTAAAACCAAATTTTTCATCTGTAATTGAAATACTCATGGACAGGAAAATGTGCCGATTGTAGACCAATTCACTTTATTAAGAATCTTGAGAGAATTGAATGATTTGAGTTGAATGTTGCAGATAACAATAACAAAAATACGTAGCATGTTAAAAGAAAAGCAACAGAGAAACACGTTGTAATAACTGATATAAAACCAGTAATAATGAATAGAATGTATCAAATTATGATGGAATGTTATGTTCTTATTTTAAAATGTGTTCTACTAAAGGTTTCCACGTCTTTTTGTTTGTATCATCGTTCTTTAAATATATAAACACTCTGAGCAACGTCTTTTAAAATTATCGGGTCGTTTTCATGTATTGTTTTCAGTGGATGGAAAGTTGACAGAATGGGCAAACTGGGGATTTTGTTCGAGCTCTTGTGGTGGAGGTACAAGGTTCAGGACACGACAATGTTACTTTAAGCTTCATGTTCCTCATGGTGCTAACTGCACAGGCGCACTTCGAGACGATGAGATCTGTGGCGATAGCCCGTGTCCAAGTAAAAATATTAGATAATGTATATTATATACCGCATTGAACACTGTCCAGTGCTGAAATATTTATATATAGAGTAGATTTAGCGAATCAAATAGTAAAAATAAAAACAAATATAATTTTTAAGCAGAATATCCATAAGGCATACAGAGACCTATAGTGTGATAGACAACGTTAAAACACTGTATCATAATTGAAAAGAAATTTATGTTAACAAAGTAATTCAGTTTTTATCTTTTTATGTCCTAATTAGCATATTGTTAATAATAATAATTACAATAATAATAATAATTGTGGTATATAAATTATGTATTGTATTACAGCTATTGCAACAACAACAACTACAGAAGCACCAGGTAATTTAAAAAAATGTTTGACATATTTTTTTCTATTATGAAATAATGTATGTGTCCCCTGATTACCGTATATGTTAAAGTTTTATTGTGTATGAAAGCTACAAGATCGTTTTTAAAAAGTTGGGTTAACTTGACATTCTATTTGAATTTGTAGTTTATCAACAATGGTACACTTTATATGTGAGCCGTGCCATGACAAAACCAACATAATGGGTTTGCGAGCTGCATGGATCCAGACCAGCCTGCGCATCCGCGCAGTCTGATCAGGATCCATGCTGTTCGCTATCACTTTTTCTACTTGTTATAGGGTTTGTAAGCGAACAACATGGATCCTGATCAGACTGTGCGGACGCGCAGGCCGGTTTGAATACAGGCTGCTCGCAAACCCAGAATGTTGGATTTGTCGTGACGCGGCTCAATTTTATTGTTACGCACAATTATGAGTGAAGTACTAAATGTATTTTTCTACTCGGAATTAAATTATTTATACACCAGACCAGATAATGACTATGACAATTTATTTAAATGATAATTAGTGGATGGTCATTGGTCGGCGTTCGGTCCATGGAGTGACTGCACGGCCACGTGTGGCGGGGGAAGAAGAACTCATTCTCGGAACTGTACTTACCCAGACGTTAGCCTCCATGGTAAATATTGCCCAGGATCTAATGTGACGACACAAGTGTGTAACGACCAGCACTGTCCAGGTAATGCCTTTTATTCGTCTTATTCTATTTGATTACGAAACAAGTATTCTTATTTGTATGCCGCGAATTCAAATATAATTCTATTAAAATGTTGCAGCCTTGTCAAGCTAGGGCTTGTAGCGTACACAAACATACATTCATTCAGATGTGTACCTTGTTAAATTGTTTGCTAGGATGAAGCAGAGACATAGATAACATGTTATCTTTGTCTCTGTTACCATAACGTTTAGCACTTGCATCAATAAATTAACCTGTAGTTTGTTACTTTTCCAAGTGTAAACTAGAGATTATATAGAAGGTGGACGTCAGTGAATATAATTGTCTCCAGCACAACTGTACCAGAATGCACAACAGTTTCCAAATACGTGTATTTATCATCTTAAACAGAGCAAAAAATGCTTCAGTAATATACCGTAATTGTGTCATGACATTTAACAAAAACATGAAAATAAATACATTTGGGGTGTATTTTTTTTTATTAAATTTGAAATTTTAAAAGTGGGGGCCCAGTGGTAAAAATTTGGGGGCCCGTCTAAAGAAAGAGTTTCGGCCACGTGGGGGCCAAGGGAAACTCATAGCCCGGACAAGGATTTGGGGTGATTTTAAATAATAGGTAAGCTTCACTGTTTGTTATTCTTATTCAAAGTAAATGTAACAATGTTAATTAAAAATACTGATCACAAGTTATTTTTTATATCACATATAATGCTTCATTTTGTTATAGTGAAACAAATCTTTTTGTTATTAATTTTTTCAGGTATGATCACGGCGCTGACTGTGTTGGGGACTCAAAAGAGGAGGGCACTTGCTGGGCCGGTGAATGTCCAGGTAAGTTTAACAAGAAACAACATGTTCATTAACGTAAGGATTGTGTGGTGTATAGCTGTGATGATATTTGACCGGTGCCGACGTCTCAGATAACTGATTGACTTTTTTACATGTAATATCAAATAAATAAATTATGTATTGTATAAAATTTGACAATTAATTGTAAATTACAAAAAACTATAGATGCCAAAAATTGAAATATGCAAGATATGCTTTATGAACATTTTATACTATTGTTAGTGGACGGGGTGTGGTCGGACTGGGGTGCCTGGCACACATGTTCCGTATCCTGTGGAGGAGGTACACAAGAACGAACCAGAGTATGCTCGTTTAAAAAAGGTTCACCTCATGGTGCCAATTGCACGGGCGATACGCACGAGAGTCAGTCATGTAGAACAGATTATTGTCCAGGTAAACAATCATAGAATAAAAAATGCTATAGTCCAAAATATTGTTTCAAATGGAAGACATGTGCTATATTCCAATTTATCACTATGCACGTTCAATTCTACCAAAATTTATCGCTGAAATATTTATAAACAATAACATGACTTGTTTCAATTTTTATAGAAATATATTCAATTTTATTAACATAGTAGCTGTACGTTTGTTTATTCTAGGCACAGATAGCTGCTCCCGTGTTAAAATATTAAAACGAAATAGATGAACATTTAACGTCATCATACTATTTAACGATGAATTTGTCATATTATTGTTAGTGGATGGAAACCTGACAGAATGGTCAACATGGACCCCATGTCCGGTCACATGTGGTGGCGGCACCCAGGCTCGAAACCGTACAGGGTGAAATCCCCCAATCGCCCCGATTGGTAAAAAACTGTCCCTGGGGAATTTTAGCCCAAAACAAAACCCTTGTTCTGAAAATTTTTTTCCGGGTTTTAAAATAAAAATTTTATTTTTTATTATTATAACATACTTTTCTATAAAAAAAATGTTAATACTGCATGCTTTATAAACTTGTTAAAGATTTTTTTAAACTGAATAATATATACATGTTATCTATGTCTCTGCGCAAATTAAATAAATTAAAAAAATAAGAAAGGTCGAAATACAGATGCATTCTATAGCTGTCCGCCCTGCCAGTATGGTAGGGACACCCGGACCGCATGCTTGTTCTTCAAAACTAAACAACCAACTATATATGACAAAAATAAATACATACTTAAGAGTGCATTTTTATCGTAATCAAGGAAAGTACATTTAACTAACTTGTACATGAAGTTTGTTATTGTAGTGGACGGTATCTGGGCAAACTGGGGATCATGGGGCGCTTGTTCTGTAACATGTGATGGAGGCACTCAGAATAGAAGGCGGAAGTGCAAGTATGACAGGTGGGAATGGTATATTACCGGTCAAGTTATTCAATGTGAATGTTTGCTTTTTAGACAGATATGTAAACATAATTATGTTTGTAATATGTTATAGAGGGAATAAGTAATATTTACATTGTATATTAATCATTGCCTGAAAATGATTACGCGTAAGATAAGAATGAGTGACTGGTAGAGTATACATGTTACAGGAACGACGGCGACCTAAAACATCCAGCACGATTTTCACAATAATATGTGTAAAATACTAGTCTGACAATACTTTAAACTATTCACTGCATTGTTTATTGATAGATCCCTGCTCTATTTGATTAACAATAGATTTAACCACAAATATTGCAATGTGCTTTTTTTGTTAACAAAAATGTGGTGCTGAAATTCTTACTGTATCCATTAATCTGATAATTATAATACGACAGGTTAAAGATCTATGTTTGGTTTCAATTGCTTTTAAAATTACTAAATGTAAATGCTAAAAGTATGCAGCTACATTAAAAGGTGACAACGGAGTCAATTATCACTGAAAATACCTAAAATGAGATTTTTTGCTTAGTATATTTTATCAAACCTTTTCTGAACACATTCCGTGATTTTAAAATTTTGGAAGCAAGTTAGTCCAAAAAATGTGTTTTTTAAACGTTTTAAAAAACGACCTTGTACTATTTTTATTCTGCTATCAACGTAACCTGTCAATTATCCGATAACGCTCCGCCCCCTGTTTGAGGCATCAATGAGGGAAGGTCGGGAGTTCCATATATGCCGTGAATTTACCGGTCCATACTGGTCCATACTAACACGTAATTCATGTATCCGTACAAATACCGTACATCTTTTATGAATATCGTCTACCTTTTATTTAGCCTTTTTTAAAAATATTAAAGAAAATTGTCGGCCATATGTACGTAACATAATGGTATGAAACATAAATAATTAAGCATAGCGACAAATCGCACGACCACGGGGTTGATTAAAAATACTTTGCTAAAATATCCATAAAATGTGTGAAAATAATTTGTCTGTCCCGTTAATCTGATAGATATTACATTGAGTTTTATGGATTTTTGTACGGATTCAAGGGCTTGCCTTTACATTCAACCTCGTTTTCTAACAATGTCAAGTAAAACAAAACAAAAACAGACAACATTTTTTTATGTGAACGCCTATATGACTTGTGGTAAGGTCTCCCTGACAAATTTCTAAACCATTTTAGGTTGTCTAAGGATGATTATTTCTCTATGAATCAATAAAAAAAGATAATAAAATAAATTATCAGTGAATGCTTTGAATAAATTGTTCGCTAGTAAATCGAACACAGTACTAATAAACCTGGGAGAAAGTTTGGAATTTATTGTATATCCAAGTAGAAACTGGATCTCTATGCCGTGCATAGATGATTTTCATGATAATAGAAGTCAAGAAGGTCAGATCATAATGATCGAGTGATACCTTTTATTTCTATTAAAATATGTGAAGCATTTATATCAATTTGGAGGAAAACATATATTAAATCCCGTTCTTATTTGTACATCTACCATGGACTTTAAAATACTGTCAGAAGCTCGGTTTTTTTGTTATTTTAATTTATATTTTAACGGAATTTCATACACGAGTACACAGATAGAGTGACACTGGTATAATATAATAATAATGCTGATGATAATAATAATAAACTTCAAATGTGAAACAATTAAATACCCCGCTAGCGGTGCACAAATACGTCCCATTTCCCCCCCACCGAGTGCCTCAAATTTTACCGAAAGTCACGTGACATGTGCAACCGATACCAGACTAACGGTAAATCACGTTAAGATGTGAAGAAATTTCTGTTATAAACTGATATTAATCAGCAACTTTTTAATTGGTCAGATGTCACTGGGTCATAAAATGTTGTTAGTGTATGTTACCGCAACTTGTGACCCATTCTGGTGCGATATTTGTGTATTATGTTATTATTTAGCGTGAAACGTAGGGGTCCGAGAGAGAACAGCCAATTTATGACACTTCGTTTGATGCGGATCGGACTAACTTTGAATCGGCATAACTTTTTTAATAATCAAGCAATTAACATGCGGTTTAAAGCACATGAAAGGGAATTCATTTACGGAGGGAACCGTGTCAGGGATTTTTGTTTGCTCAATCAGCGACTTAATTATCTTTAATTACGTAATATGTATGGTGAAAAAAGTCGCATAAAATGTTTGACGTTACGTAATATTTTTTTTAGAAAAGATAGACAAAATTTGAAACACGGTTCCCCAGATAAGTATGTTTATTTTCCAAAAGTTTGATGACAAAAAAATAAAAAATGACTTTGATATGACGATTTAAAATTTTAGGATTTTTATTAAAAATCAATCATTTACAAAGACATTTTTTTCAAATATGTTATTTTTTATGATGATCAACGACATTTAATGCACAAAGATTAAATAAATAACAATTATTACTAAAATAAGTTGGTTTAAATGACATTTATGTGATTACCACGGAAAGTGTCTGTTGTCACCTTAAAGAGCAGTGTAAAGTGGCTCGACTGTCAACTACTTAACTTTGTCGTCAGGAGGGTTCATTATTTAAAAAATCAAAAGATTTAATTACAGCAGAAGTTACATCATCAAAATTGTAATGTATTGTAGTTAAGCAAAAACGTTTTGTGTTGTCTTATAAAGGTCAGCTCCACGTGGTGCCAAATGTGCGGGACAGAGAAACGAGGGACGTGCTTGTAACTCTAACAAATGTCCAGGTACTGTAATTTATCATTCATACTTCCCTATCAGAAAACATGTATATATTTTAGTGAAAACATATATATTTAGAAATTTAATTTTTGTGATAAAAGTGTTTATTTTGCATTTTAACTTAAGCTAAATCTTCCAATACTATTTACTTGTCCAAAGTAAAGTCATCATATAAAAATTGTAATGTCATTTACAACTTTTGAGTGTCTTATAATAACTGTTTCCAGTAGCACATCCTGCTTTAGATGTCTAACAAAATTTGAGCCGCGTCACGACAAAACCAACATAATGGGTTTGCGACAAGCATGGATACAGACCAGCCTGCGCATTCGCGCATTCTGATCAGGATCCATGCTGTTCGCTATCAGTTTCTGTACTTGTAATAGGGTTGGTAAGCGAACAGAATGGATCCTGGACCAATTATGTTGGTTTTGTCACGACACGGCTCGAATGTTTATTTTATAACGGGATATGATTTGTAGTGATGACTTATAGAGGAACATAATATCTGTGAAACAATTATGGAGAGGAATATTTTCATTGCAATAATGTTTCTTAGTTATTAGTCACTTTACAAGGTGTTATTTTAATAGTGGAATAAATCCGACATCAGTGATACAATCGAAGTTTACCAAACTCCTCATATGTTCTTTTCGATTGTGTGTTAAACGTAAAGGTGTTGTTAGATTGTTGTGATGTTGTGGTGTTTTGCTTTTGTGGTGATGTGATTTGCTGTTGTTTTTTTTTCTATTTGCGTTGTTTTGGTGTTTTGATCTGACACGAGACATACTGAAAACACACTATAAGATATGTAACAACTCACGAATCTTAAGTAATTTTGAGTTATGCACCAATATCAATTTCTTCTATGAATTAATATGTGCACTTATGACACTAGTTGACGGTCATTGGGCACCGTGGGCCAGTTGGTCTAGATGTTCGATGTCGTGTGAAAATGGAACTCACACACGTGACCGAGAATGCTTATTCCTTCCTGATACACCACATGGTAACAACTGTACGGGGAACTACTCTGATATCGAAACATGCAATGCCGGGCCTTGTCCAGGTATTCAGATAAATTACTTGACTTGTGACCAGACAAAAATATTATTTGTTATGATTCTTTGTCTCTCTCTATTTACAAATTAATTCTAAAATTTATTACGAATAAAATAAATATATCTGTTTCTCGAAAGCGAGAAACAAAGTGTCTAGAATAATTAATTAACATTAAATAAGGGCAAGGAAAATAGAACAATTTACTTTGTGTGTTATGCACAATTTATATTGTAAGTATTTCTTTTCTTTAATATTTTATCTGATTTTTAAATTTAACATGATTTTTATTGTTCATCAATATAAAATAACTACATCATCAAGCTTTGTGATATTTTCGCAGGTATTTAATCAATTGGAAAATTTATTTTTTATAAAAACTGTACAAATCATATTATGGTGGCTATTTAAAGTTGACGGTACATGGAGCGTGTGGTCAGATTGGACAGAATGCACGTTAACATGTGGTAATGGAACTAAATTAAGAAACAGGTCATGTGACTTTCCGGATGGGGTACCTCAAGGCAATAATTGTTTAGGTGCAGTGTCGGAGACTGATGTTTGTAACACGGACTTGTGTCCAAGTAAGTTGTCTTCATATGAATTATTGCATAATTTCTGTAGGGAAATACTGTGAAACATTTACAATAGATTCCGATCACCTTTATTGAATAACATTTTTACAATTTGTTTTTTTATCATTATTTTATTCAAACAATATTTTAACACTGACCCGGCATAGATTTTACAAAAATCGCAATTAGGTCTTAACGGACAATTCTATACTGGATATTATTTAATACCAACAGTATTTTATAAACTATACATGTGTCACAAAAACTGACATAATTATTCTTTGTCAATATTTGTTGATATTAATTTATATATTAGAGCAATAGGAAACACCCACTGTAAAAATAGTTTAAGCAAAAAAGTACCGCAAAACATGGAGGACGTTTTAGCCTTAGAAAGTTTCGTCCAAAGAGCGGCCGCATCAAAATATGAGGAAGACGATTAAAGGCCCGCCCTCGATGACAAGAAATTCAAATAAATAATAAATTTAAAACATATAAAGATTTCTAAACATATCAGTAAAAATGTCAGTGTCTCGTGGTATTTGTGTGTGTAGTCTATGCTTAATGAAGTAATGAAGGTCATTCGCCCGTAAGGGCACAAAATGCAGCTTTCGTTGTCGAGTTCGGTCCCCGGACATGTCACCATTCATGCCCTTAAAGAGTTAATTTTGAAGCACAAAGTGGTGATAATTTACCTCCATGCAATTTTCACGGAGTATAAGCCAAAGCCAAAAGTAGGTCACTGCACGGCGGTCAATGAGAACCTAAATTTACAATAACCTGAGACAATATGAAAGGGTAGCCCTTAAAAGGACTGTTGGTGCCAGCAAAAGACCTGCCGTTTAAGCCGTCTAACCGTGCTAGGGGCTGGCGTACCTAAGCACATCATTCTCGTCGTCTTAGACTTCTTTGTTGGGCTAATCCTCTCGACATAAGTCAGGGCACCGGCAGCTGGTCTGCAGTACAAATTCTGATCTTTTGCGCCATCCGAAGTCTTCAAATCTGCCGATGCCCTGTATCTTCTCAGCGACGAACACGTCGCTCAGAGGGGAAGTGAGAAAAGTGTCTTGTCGTCCTTGGTCGCCGTCATTTAAATGTTACTCAATGGTAATTGGTGTCAACGGTCAATTGAAACTTTTCGGATGAAAAATAACCGCTGAGCTGTTCCGATTGAAAACGGTGCATAATACTGAATGATACCTTTAAAACGAAAAGTATATAATAAAAATGAACGAATGTATTTATCTGACTTCCATTCATGGACTTTTCCTTTTTTGATATTAGATGAAAACAAAAGTTTAAGATGATTTAAAGGAAACATCTGATGTTACAGTTGATGGCAAGCTTGATTCATGGGGATCATGGTCGGTATGCAGTGCAACTTGTGGAGGCGGAAGTCAAAGCAGACAACGCGCATGTATATTTGATGACAATGCTCCACCTGGCCTGAACTGCACCGGAAATCTTAGCGAATCTCAAGCATGTAGTTCAGAAAGTTGCCCAGGTTTGTCGAGTTATACATTCAAGAACTGAGAATAAAAGAAACATGCTTCAGGAAAACGTTGCATAACAGTAATATAAATATTACACTGAGGGGTGTTATAAAACAGGTGGGCATTAATGTAAAATAACAATTGATAACAAATGAATATAAAACTGGTACATACAGTATATTATTATTAACTAACTGTTTTAAATTTTCATTTTATATATAGTTGACGGAGTGTGGTCAGAATGGAGTAATTTCACAGATTGCACGGTGTCATGTGGAAATGGAACTCAGTTTCGCACGAGAAAATGTGAATATAGGCCACTTGGGTCTCCACAAGGAAATAATTGCACTGGTTCTGACCTTGACACGGAGGTGTGTGGTACAGATAAATGCCCTGGTACATTTATGCTTAGTTTGATTTTATACTGTAGAGTTTAGTATCAAAGTAAAATATTTTTTCTCTAGACCATAATACAGGGAAACATATCTAATATGTTTTACACGTACTAAGCTTTCATTGTATAAATAAATATTGCATCCATTATATGTAAGATTTAATCAAGTTAATCAAGACATTATCTTCCTAACTCACCTTTTCTCATTCATGTTTCAATGAGACAAATGTCTCAATTTTTATGACTCTGATAAGAACGACTGTTTACATTATAATACCGAGTAAATAAGCCAAGTAATAAGTAATATAGGTCTAATATTTTACATATACAGTTGATGGCAAATTTTCTGAATGGACAGCTTGGACGGAATGCTCGAAATCTTGCGAGAATGGAACACAATCACATAACAGAACATGTGATTTTGACAGCAGTGCTCCCAAAGGTCAAGATTGTGCCGGTGATCTGTATGCCATGAGATCTTGCAATGAAGAAAATTGTCCAAGTACATAATTTACTTTTAGTTAAGAAATCTAATTAATATCTGTCGTAAAGCGTTGCAATATTTATAAAATTAGAGAAAGGATATTTCTATAAAAGTTGTTTTTGTAATATATTTAGAGAACGTACTAATAATTGTGCACCGATAATGTTTAATATAGATAGAAATATGTATACTCGGTTAAAAATCTGTTATACAGTAATTATAAACGTTTTAGAATGATCATGCAAACATTAATGTACAGAAATGGTATTCTTGTTTACTACAAATATTGTCGTTCATTTACCTTTAGCATGTTTTAAAGCATGCACCTAACTGCCGATAAAATTTGGAAGATTTAGCAGAGGTTTTTATAGCAAATCAGATCTTATTGACGCAGAGGCTGGCAGGAAGGTGGTGCTGTTGTAATCTGCGAATATCATCTGAGTCTTGTTGATTAATAGACTACTTTATTGGGTAAGGATTTATGTATTGATAGTTAATGGGCACTGGTCAACGTGGAGTAACTTCACCGAATGCTCGGTATCATGCAGTGGAGGGACAAAGGATCGAAACCGAACCTGTCTGTTTGACGACAATGCGCCTCATGGATCAAAGTGCTTTGGTAACTCAACAGATACCGACGATTGTAATACAGAACCTTGTCCAGGTATAACAAGACATATATTTGTTTGTTTGTTGGTGTTGTTGTGTTTTATTTTTTTCATTAGAAAATAAATGTATTTTGAAATTAATATTGAACTATATATAAATATATAACATTAAGTTTTTTACCATTTGGAGACAAGAAGGCAGATATATTCTTAAAAAATATCAATAAAAATAACAAATAAATTTCTATTACATGTATTAATAAAACATTAGCAACGTTTGAATGAGCATAGATTAATAAAATGTTTGTATTTTCTTATCAAGTATAATATATGTTTTACATAGTACAAATATAAGTTGAAATAGTTATGACACCCAGTCAAAACATACTTATTATAACAGATTTATTATAATGCTTCATTTGAATATAATATTTGATTCGTTCTTTGGAATTAGACGATTACGGAAGCGAACCATCGCCATGTGTGGAGTGTGTCACATGACAAAAATATTATAAATATAGGGATTCAATAACTGTCAAGGCGAGAACGGTGTATTGTGATCTAACATTGGAGTGAAATATGTTTCTAAACTGATTTAAAGCTAGATCATGAATTGTCTACCTTTAGTTGATGGACAGTGGGGAGACTGGAACGCATGGCATAGCTGTGACAAATCATGTGGCGGTGGACACAAAGTCCGAGACCGAACGTGCCAGTTCCCGCCTGATACTCCACATGGTGATAACTGTACGGTCGGCCCGGAACAGGAAATCGCTGAATGTAACCCACAATCGTGCCCAGGTAACTAATAAATATTGCAACAAATTATCAGGCATAACTGCTGATTCATGAACAAAATATGATAAACTTCACAAAAAGTATAAGTCTATAAAGTTGCGTGGCCAGGGGTTAAGGTCGTTGATTTTAAACCACTTTCTTCTCATCGCTTTGTGTTCGAATCCTGACATGAACTTTGGATTCTTTCATGTGAGTGAGCTGTCCAGCTAGCTAATGGAACGTCGGTGGTTATACTCAGGTGTACGTTAGTGCCTGAGATAATACACTGTAGGGCACCTGTGGTTTCCCTCCATCAGAATAGCTGGAACCTCGCCATATGACGTATACTGTGTCGGTGTGACGCAATTTAACCCAAACAAATAAACTTAAAGGCCTTTAAGTAGTATGACCTCATTGCCATCTTGTTTTGTTTAACAAGCATTGCGCCTGGACGCAGCCATTTTGAATCCGTCATTTTATTGGTTATTGGGTATCATACTAACGATGTTTGGTCAGTTAAATAACCCATGGTAGATAATGTAGTATGCCGTGGCTAACCGACGATAAGCTAAGACCAGAAACTTTTTATTTAGAACTATATACGTTCCTGAAAATTTTAAGTTATTATGATTCTAGTGGACGGAAAATTCAGTGATTGGTCTGCATGGACAATTTGCTCGCACTCTTGTGGTGGCGGTGTCAAGTTTCATACCCGTAAATGTGTGTTTCCAAATGGCGTGACACATGGCCAAAACTGTAGTGGGGCGAAGTCAGAACAAAACACATGTGGCACAGAATTGTGCCCAGGTAATAAATCATTTAACACACTAAACAATATTCATATTTTTTCATGTAAGTCTCCTGAATTGTCTACACATATATCTTTTATATCTAATTGTCCATTAATGTCTTAATTTTGTTCATGTTTTAAAACGTTTACTTATACAACACGGCGCATCAAGTCAACATATTATATAACTTTTATTTATCAAGGAAAAGAAAATGATACAAAAGCTAGAATTTTATTACATTATATTTATTATATTTTGGTTGTGTATAGTTGACGGAGTATGGTCAAACTGGGAATCATGGGAAACATGTCCAGTCACATGTGGCAGTGGTTCTCAGTCAAGATACAGAAATTGTACTTACAAAATAGACAGCGCAAATCCAGCACCATATGGAAACAACTGTACCGGGAGTGACGTTGATACACAAACATGCAACAATAACACCTGTCCTGGTAACAAAAATGTTTCTTATTTTTGCTTTATTCTTTATGAAATAAGATTTGCTGAAAGAGACAATTATTAGATTAAACCTTTACGTTGTTTACACTCAGAAACGTCTGCAGAATTACCGTCCGCAAGAAATTCTTCCCATGAAATGTGGCCATAAGTTTGCCCATGACAATATCATTTGTAGGTGTTACGATTACTCTGTATATCAATTTTGTATACCATTTACTCATAGGTATATTCTTTCTTTGAAACATTTTGATTACTTTTTAAAATATTAGATTCAGGAACTTTTAATCAGACTCCTCATCTCTCAATCAAATGTAAACAATATATCTTCCACCGACACACGATCACAATATAGATATCTCAAATAAGTTGAAATAACGAAAAAGAATTACAGCAACAACAAAGAAAGAAGTTTTCCAAAAAAAGGTTTATGATTTGTATTGCATGCTTTTAACAATTTAGATAATTATGATAATCATTTTCATTGTCCGCAAAATTACAACTTTCATTACATAACAGATACACCCAGTTATATTATATGTAGTTCATGTTTAACTTGTTTTTCTTATTACAGTTGATGGCACGTGGACTGAATGGGGTAACTTCACAGCATGTTCTAAAACATGTGGATATGGCGTTTCTACTAGGTTTGATAATGAGCCGCGTCACGACAAAACCAACATAATGGGTTTGCGACCAGCAGTGATCCAGACCAGCCTGCGCATCCGTACAGTCTGATCAGGATCCATACTGTTCGCTTACAAACCCTGTAACAAGTAGAAATACTGATAGCGAACAGTATGGATCTTGATTAGACTGCGCGGATGCGCAGGCTGGTCTGGATCCATATCGGTCGCAAACCCATTATGTTGGTTTTGTCATGACGCGGCTCAAATACTTATTTTTCATAAATCCTTGTATGTGATTATATGTGATTAAATGCTTTGAAATAGTTCGCACTATTGGTTAAGGTCGTAGACTTCAAACCACTTTTCCCTCACCGCTGTGGGTTCGAATCGTGAAATGGAATTAAGATTATGTAATGATTCATGTAATGAAGCTATCAAGCTAGCTTACGGAACATCGGTGGTTCTACTCATGTGCCAGTTCGTGCCTGAAATAAATGTACGGAAGGGCACCTGATGTCTTCCTGTACCAGGAAAAGCCGAAATATCACCATGTGACCTTTATAGTGTTGGAGCAACGTTAAACCAATCCAAAAAATAAATATAAAGTCGCATACATGTGGCACATGATTACAATGTTTGTTTATTTATCAGATGTTAATGAACATTTACTTTTTATCTAACTTCTGGCTATTCAGTCTGTAGGGTTTCCCAGAAACCAATAAAATTCTGTCCCATTTGATAAATATTAAATGTCCAATATGATTAGTTTGGTTATTTGTTTTCAAAGTCTCTGCACTTATTTTTTTTATTGTGCCACTACTATAGGGGGGGGGGGATTTAGATTTACCCTTATCCGTCCGTTCGCCCCTTCACTTTTTGTGTCGCAGGTAGCTCAAAAAGTAATTGACCTACAGTCATGAAACCTTATAGGAATGTTGCTCAGCATGTATAGTTGTGCACCTGTGTATTTTCATGTGGATATTTTTAGTATTTTTATAGTTATTGCCCTTGACTTAATAAAAATTTGCAATTTTCAACTTGTGTCGCACGTAACTCAAAAAATATTTCACCTAGAGTCATGAAACCTTACAGGAATGTTGCTCAGCATGTGAAGTTGTGCACTTGAGTATCTTTGTGTGGATATATTTTGTATTTTTAGAGTTATTGCCCTTGAATTAGTAAAAATTTACAATTTTCAACTTGTGTCTCACGTAACTAAAAAGTATTTGACCTAGAGTCGTGAAACCTCAAGGAATGTTGCTCAGCATGTGTAGTTGTGCACCTGGGTATTTTCGTCTGGATATTTTCAATATTTTAGAGTTGTTGTTGCCCTTGACTTAGTAAAAATTTACAATATTCAACTTGTGTTGCTCGTAACTCAAAATGTATGTGACCTGTAGGTCTGAAAGTTGACAAGAATGTTGGTCAGCATGTGTACTTATGCGCCTTGGGGTTTTCTTGTGGATTTCAGTATAAAAGATTTTTAGTTTTCACATGTAGCCAAAAATAATTGACCAATAGACATAAGATCGACAAATCGGAGGAGTGTGGGGGCACCCGTGTCCTATGGATACTTTTTTAGTTTGATAGTAATGTAAATGTTTTGTCTTCTAGAAATAGAACGTGCGAGTATCTGCCACCAGGTACACAGCATGGTAAAAATTGTACAGGATTCCACTCCGAGTCGAAATTCTGTAACACGGATGTGTGTCCACGTATGTTAATTTATTTAAAATGTTATTTTCATCTATCAACAATTATCTTCAAAATCTTTACATTTCAATCTATTCTGTACAATATATGTATTAGGTATAATATGTGTGGATATATTCCATTCAATTTCTTATCTCGATGCGAGCGTTAATAATTTGGCAATACAAGTTTGACTGTAAATGATTTCTTTGGTTTAACTAGGCTTAATTAACAATATGACATAAGACACAATACATGGGCTAAGCCATTTATATAATTTTTGAATTTGCTTTAATAAGAACTTGTTTGTACCTGTATTCATTAGTTAATTCGTACAAAATTTAATTGGTCTGCAATCCTATTGGACAATAGTAATCTGAATATGTTTGTCGTCACTCAATGCTTTAATATGATTATATAACAATCTAATATATGTATATAGGACAGAATTTCATATATCTACATGTACTTTAAATAATCTAATAAAACTTAAACAGTTTGTGAAATACTTTAATTTTTACTTCCGGTTTAATTGTACAGAAGATGCCGTGTGGGGTACCTGGGGAGAATGGTCAAACTGCAGCGCCACTTGTGGCGGAGGAAACCAGACGCGTGATCGTCAATGTGATTGGCCCACGAGCGTACACGGAAACACTTGTGTGGGTGACAATTCTGAATCCCAGGAGTGCAGCACAAACCTTTGCCCGGGTATGATGTATTTTAGATATTTGTGCATTTGAAGAAATAAACTTGTTTTCTTTAAGATCCCAGAAATGTAACATTTATGTGGGTTTATTATTTTTGTGTTTCATTTTTATATATGTATAAATTAATTGACCCTTCAAAAGAAACATGTTGATCTAAGATGACCATCCAGGTTTAGATAACACTTCGTACAAATTTATAATAAATGAATAAAATGTGTCATCGCGATTATGATTATTTTACTATGAATTCAATCTGCTTTGTAGGAGCACATTTGTCTCGGAGCACATTTGTCTAACGAAGAGTGACCGATGTGTTCGTAAACATTCATATTTGCCTAAAAATTTGGGAAATAAAGGCAGTTTGTGTTCAAACCCACACAATAAAAAAAGGAAACACTCGAAGCAAAATTTTGCCCTCACATTTTTCCATAAAATTCTTGAAAGGTAATAATTATGCCCATCTGTATACCGGCTACCAGCCATTGTTCTGTGTTTTAGGCGACTTCCAGTTAGTCAAAAACTTCCTTAAAGAATATCCCTGTTCTGCATGTCATAATGAAAATTTCTACAAGTGCAGCATCCAATACCTAAACACATATGCAGCAAGTCTATTCTTGTCGTTATTAATTGTGATACGTTTATATTAAATGCTTTAAGTTTTATAAATGATTTATGGCACTAGAAATATTCTTAGCAAAACAAGGTAGTATCTACGGTGGCATAAAGGGGACAGAATTTTCTTATTAATTACGTGCGCACACGATAGCTATTAGCCTATTACGTGGCTACGCGATACTATTACGTGCGCACGCAATAGCTATTACATGCGCACGCGGATATGTATTCCGCATTTGGAACCTGACCGGAATCCTCGCATGAATAGTTCGACGCCCCGTATATGTGTCGAACCTACAGCGGTTATGGGCTTGTGTTTTTTTGTTGTTTTTTTTTTAATCACTCGGCCACGGAGGCCCTAAAATGATCTTTGGAAGAAAATAAGAAGACCAATACACACGTATTTTGTTTTCATCAGAAATATATGTAGAAAAAAGATCCGCCATTGAAAAAGCACTTGCAACATGCATGAGTTTCTAAAATAATCCGAGTGATGCCATAAAAAGGAATATCGGGCCACTAAGAATCGGGCGAGACGCGACTTTTCAATGAGACTCGAAGCGAGGCACGATATTGTAACACGAGATCTAGCAATGTCGAAGTATCCCGTGTCACGAGATTTCAGAAATGAATAATTTTTTACTTCTTTAGATAGGGCAAGTATGAATTTATTAGTATTCAAATAATGATTTCTGAGGTAGTTAGATGCTTGTAGCCCAAAGAAATTCGCGATTAATGTGAAATGATGTGAAATTGTAAATTGTAAACATAGTAATTGACGTCAATACAAAATTCTTAATCACTTCAACTGTTCAAACTGCAAAAAAGCAGCAGATGAAAAATGCTTCAGGTAATTAGCCAATGAGTAACTTTTTGGAGCTATAAAAGTATACCAAAAGTAAAACAGCTTTTAAAGATCCTGTATTTTTTGTGATTGATATTGTTACTGTATGTATCATACACTTGGAAAATGTTATATATGTATATAATTATGCAAATAAAACAATTTTCAAACATCCAAGAATATGTAAAATGTGTACTGGAAATATTTGTGCACATTATATTTAATCAATAAGTTACATGCATTCATTTCTTATTGGAAAATTTGACTTGGAATTTATAGAAAATAAATTTCTAATTACCTCCCTTTATTTACGAAAAATGTTAAATTGGGTAATATCTTTATAGATAATGCTTATTTGAACTTACAAGATTGACAAATCTTAATTTGAACGTCATTTTTATGAAATAAAACCAGGAAAAAAATGTGTTACAGGATCTTTAAGGAATACAAATAAAAGCATTTCTCAGGCATAATGGGCCTTTAAGTGATTTTATGTAGACTATAAAGGGAATACTACTTAGCGGTATATGACCTGGAATCAATTTCTTGTCTCACGTCGACGAACGAGATGCGAAACGAGACGCGAGATTTCGGCGAGATGCGAAACGAGTTACGATATTGTATCATTCAATATGTCTGTTTGGACATAAGTAACAAATTTGTCTCCCTGAACAGCTATGCACAATGGTACAAAGGTGAAATTGAGATGTTACGATGGTACGATGATTAAAACACGATGGCACGATGGTGAAATAACGATGATGCGATGTCACGATAGACAAAAAATATTGCGCTTTCATCATCATGCAATCGCAGTTTCATCATATCGTATCATCGTATTTTCACCATCGTAACATCGTCTTTCACCATAGTACCATCATGTTTTCATCATCAAGCCCTCGTTGTTTCACAATCGTACAATCGCTTTTTCACCATTGCACCCTCGCGTTTTCATCAATGTTCCATCGTGCCATCGCGCTGTGACCATTGTACCATCGTGAACGGGCTTTTGTATGTTTCAGTGTACGCCTTTAGGTTAAGCCAATACTTGAATTAGAGATATTATAATTATTAACTTTAGGTTTTCATAAAGTAAGCATAAGCAAACCTATTGATGATTACACTTGACATGAGGTAATACGGCGAACCTCGATTCTTAAAAAGAATTTCTACCGTGGGGAAATATGTGACAAATAATTCATAAAAATGACATGAGACAAATGTGCTTTCTTATCCCTTAAAAACACATGAGACAAATATGCTTTCTTGTCCCTTAAAAAACTAGATTGGAGCACATTTGTCACACAAATGAGTTTTTTGGGGTAGACAATTGAGGTTCCATTTGTCTCATGTGGGACAAATGCGACCGCATCGGTCTTACGTAAGATATATGTGCTCCGAGACAAATGTACTCCTACACTGCTTTGATAGTTTATTATATTGTCAAGCTAATCACTGGTATATGCCATATAAATCATTATATGCTATTATAAGTAATACATGTAGTTAGCCGGCTTTATAATAAAGAATGTAACGACTGTTTCTGCTTGCTAAAAACAGCGCGCTATTTTAAAATTCTGTAACACACCGGTCACCTTGTGATCTTTAAGTTGATGGAATGTGGGCGGAATGGGACAACTGGAGTGCATGCAGTGCCACATGTAACCTTGGAAGAATGCAACGTGAAAGAAACTGCACGTATGATGACAAGGCTCCTCATGGGGCTGTTTGTCCTGGCAAAAACCTTGAAGTCAAGTTTTGCAGAGATGGACTTTGTGCAGGTTTAATATCATTTAATATAATTCAATAATTTATGCTGCTGCTATACATGGATAGAATTTATTTTTAAGAGAGATAATTATCATTCAAATGGTGCTAAATCATATGTACTTTCAAATACCAGTTAAAACTTAAACCATATACAAATGTAACAGTTTTAGTCGTGATATTTGCCAAATGCCAGGCACTCTAAAAATTCAACTAAGCGTACATTTTCATACAAAAGTAAAATAGTTTATTCTACATTTATAATATCACTCTTTATTTCAAAGCCGTATGATTTTGATTACAAAACTTCCTCATGAAACCCTAAAGGGTGTCTAAGGCCCACTTGCCCCTCGCCGCTTTAAGTCCAACTCCCGTAAGGATTTTTAAATTCTTTCATGTGAGGAAGCTCTCCAGCTAGCTTACGGAATATGCGTGGTTCTACTCAGATGTACATTCGTGTCTGAAATAATGCACGGAGGAACACTTGAAGACGTCCTCTAACAGTAAATAACAGTAAATAACAGTAGATAACAGTAAAGCTGGAATGTCACCATTTGACCAATTCTGTGTTGGTGCGACATAAAACCCAACAGAAAATGGCATGATATCTATCATATCAAAGAAAAATATTATATTTCCTTATTAGTTGATGGTGTATGGTCATCGTGGACCAATTGGGGCGCATGCTCAGTAACCTGTGGAGACGGAGGCACTCAAATGAGGAAAAGAATTTGTGCTTTCCCTATACCCGGTGCTCCTCATGGCAAAAACTGCACGGGAGATACCTCCGATTCTAAAACATGTGGAGATGAAAATAAAAACAACACTCTTTGTGCAGGTATTTACTTTTTTTTGGTTACGTGTAAGTTATCATAATATGAGTTTTGAGGAATTATTCCCAATGTAACCCATCTTATATTTCTCAGTCCTCAAGTTTTATTTAACAGTTCAGTTTAATTTGAGATGAACTATTATATGGCCTTTTGGAAAATAGATTTGAAAAGTTTATTTATTTAACACAGATAAAATATATCAAGGAAAATAAACCAAAATAAAAGTAATAAAACGTTTTAGATGAACGTGGACCTCTCTTATTAAATGTGTTTTGGCCTGATAATGATTTTGTGTCCCCTGCTACACTGTAGCTGCAGCATGCAATTGGCTATCATGAGACGACACATGTGATAACTGATGCTCTTGTGACAATCGGTTTAATGTTTTTATTAGTTGATGCAACATGGGGTCCTTGGGGTGGGTGGTCAGCGTGTTCCGTCAGTTGCGGTAATGGAGACGAGCTTAGGACACGCACGTGCGTGTATGACCCAGATAGACCGGTTGGTCTAGATTGTCCAGTTGGAGGAGAAAATATGACCCAGGCTTGCAGCAACCTTGCTTGTGCAGGTATGTATCCCTGATTAACGCTTCAATTGGCAATAAAATGCTTAAGTCCCTTATATTGTTTTGAATTATTGTTGATAGGATACCATCTGACAAAATTATAAATATTTCACCGATTTATTTATATTTTAATTTTTCTTTAAATCCATGACATTAACAGATGAAAAGTTGAACGCGAAAGAACGGCAATAGCTAAAGGTTAAACTGGTGTTCAATAAATGTAAACTATAAAATAAAACGAACAAAAATAACCCAGTTCTTTTTAGATTAATGAAACTTGTCATAAAGTAACGTTTTTTAAGTGTTCATGTATCTATTACTTAAGTATATATGGTAATATTTTTCATTCCAAAGATATAACGTTGTTTTGAATCATGAATTTTCTTTTTTGGTATGATAAACTTAATTTTAATAGCAAACTCACCTCCAGCCAGCGTCTCTTGCGGTACATAAATCCAAGCGGTGATAGACAAGTTTTTAGCAAGTCTGGCAAATATGTCTGTATGAATTACAATCGAAATGACCATTCTTTTTCAGTAATGTAACAATTAATGTTTTTAAACAGTTAAGCCAATATTTCTAGTTGAAACTTATATTAAGGTTACTTTGAGTGTAAGGATGGATAAATCTGAGAGCGTATACAAGTGAGAATATGGTCGCTCAAGATGAGAGAAACAACAATGTGTACGAGTATATAAAGGAGTTATTTCCCCCTTAGGAAAGTACTGAAATGATATTAGAAGTTCTATATTTTGAAATAGTTGATGGTGTATGGCTGACGTGGTCTACGTGGACAGCCTGTACAGCCTCGTGCGGAGGGGGTACAGAGAGGCGTCATCGAGAATGTCACTTCCAGCAGCACGTGCCGCAGGGTGATTATTGTAAAGGGCAATCTATAGAACAGACGACATGTGGTACTGACGCATGCGAAGGTTCGTTTTTTTATCATTTATTGGATGAAATCCAAATATCACTAAATGTGATAGCAGGTTGAGTGTGATGTTTGTACAACTATTTCACATGTCTACATGCTGTCATGCTATATCCTCCTGAATTGTTTGCAAAAATCCGTAATATTTGATGTGACTTGATTTTTATATCTTTCAATTCCTTTTACTGAAATGTCGTCAGTGCTTGCGGTGTATAATATTTAGAAACATAGCTACGAATTATAAATTGATGATTATCGGTTCTTATTTTCATTTCTATTGTCTTTAATCATAGCAGAATATTGCATTTTATGTAAGTATATATATATATAAATTTAGTTGACGGTGTTTTCACGGAGTGGGGGAAATGGTCGAAATGCTCGGTTACATGTGGCGGTGGCCAGCAGACGAGGAATCGCACGTGCGAGTTTACCCCGCCCGACGCGCCAGTAGGCAAGAACTGCACAGGGCCTTATGATGATACCCAGTCATGCAGTGACAACTCTTGCGCTTGTAAGTTTTATTTTCTTATCTCTTTTTGCTGTATCCTAAAACGTAATCAAAAACAAGAAACTATTAACAGTTATAATATAAGTAGTGCAATTTCCAGGTACCTTGTGCAGACAACTTTACGTCAGTCTTAATATAACCATGTATAATGATATTATTCTTTTGTCGACCTTTCATATTAACATTTACAACGCTAAATATCTTAAATAGACGTGTCCATCCTTCAATCTGGCCATGACATGTCATGATTTATATGGAGAGAACAATGCATATCATGATCAGACATCACAGCTGATATTGATCTACATTGGTGGCCTGGGTACGATTTGTTGCCGCCATAAGGCTAATAGTTAAACATATCTGACGGCGTCTGTATTAAATACAGTTTGTATCTTGTGCTGAAAATGTCAAAGCATTTCTTAAAAAATAGTAAAATATATATTGACATGTTTTGTTAAATATAGTTAACACACAAAAACACTTTCGTTTATATTTTGTTCCAGACTTTTGTTAAAAAAGAAATTTTACATACTTCTTAAAACGGTTAAATAAATGTGCATAAATAATTTTCAGCGTGCTTTTAGCTTACTTGGGTACATAGTGCTTATAATCAGTGTTTAGTATCGAGGTCTGTCTGTTGTCCATCTTCTCCCGTTCATAATTGTTTCACTCAAACATCGGGAAAAGTTTGTTGAAACTAGCCAGGGATGCTTCTTGTATGAAATATGTGTTACTGTTATTCAAATAATTTAATTTCACACAGTTCTCGTTGCCTTGACAACCGACAGCAAAATATGTAAATGATAATTTTGTCTTAAACGCAAATTCCCATATTTTTATTTGGTATGGCTGTATATCACAGCTGTAGTGCTTTACAAACTATGCCCTTGCGTAAAAGACGCATGCAAACAGATACATGCTATTTGTAATATAAATTTGAAAACATTTTAAAACGTTAGTAATTTTCAAGAGAACAAAGAAAGTAATTTACACGTTGCAACCAGAACTTTTAATCCATGTTAATTACCAAATAAATGTCAAAGTATACAAAAATGCATTAAACGCGCAGTAGGAACATAGTGATATAGTTATTCACTGCATGAAACATGTCAATTATTACTTGAATTGTAAAATATGTTTACAATTCAGGGACTCCACTGAGGTTTTTTGACATGACGGGACTGGAATTAATATTTTGAATTTATTACTCCATTTGATGTAAATCTATACTAATGTTATGCGCTGATTTTGTAGTTCTTCTGAAGATGGTTTTAATCGCAACACAATGTTCCGTTTTATATTTTAATGTTTCTTTCTTAGTGGAATACCACAGATACTATATAACATATACACAGGTTATCCTGATGTTTACAAATTAATATTAAAAACAGTAACAATTATTTCTAGTGGAAAGCCACAATACTATGTTATCACTTGGAAATCCAAAATCTAACTGTTCGATTTCTCTATCTTTACAATATTTCTAAAAATGGTTTCGTTTTAAACTGACCAATAAAATTTTAACATCTTTGTTTCTTAAATAACAAAATAACCAATCAGGTTTCAATACAAAATAATGTAAAATAGCAACATATGATTTATAACAATGGACATTTTATCAGTAATAAGGTTTAACAACTTATTAAGAGCAGACGGCTAAATTGACATTATCACCTAAATATAATAACACTTTTAGCACCATTGATTGGACAAGGAGGAAAAGCCACATTTATTCTTCCGGTTACATAATTATAAATTTGACATCTATTGTTAAAACATATAGTACCTGTAACTTAACATATTTGAAATTTCACACAATGTTTTGAAAATATGACCTTTAAGAAAATGATTATATTTATAAATTTTTGTGTTTAAAAGAAAATCATCATGCATATTTATTCATTTTTTTTTTGTAAAAGAATTTTATCATTTTTCGGCCGCACAACACTTCTCCCTCCTTTAAGACTATTTCACTCCTGTGAAATGGAGCATAAATATGTATATAACAAAAATAAATATCATTAAATTAGAATAATGTTTACGTAAGATATTCAGTTACAGACATATATCGTGAATATAAAGCACCGATTTTGCTGAAAAGCGTAAGTACCATTCACTAATAATAAATATCCTAATCACTGTCTTATTGTAAACAACACAGTTTTAATGATGTCTATTTCTGTTGTATTGCCCCCTCTGTCCTTGTTGTCTTCCATGATGATATTGACCTCTCCATTCATGTGGGAACCCAGTTTCGCATGTACTTGAAAGATCTTGATTTTCTGTTTCCTCTTTTTCGACATAGATATTTAGTTTTGTTCTTTCAAATGAGCAATCTCGTCTCTCAAGTTGTGGTTTTCATTTTTAAAGGTCATCTATTTTGGTCGTTTTTCCTTGATTCTATCATTTTCTATTTTCATAAGCTTTCTGGTTGTGTTCAGTCTCAGCTGTTCGTAATCGTCATTAAGTTTTCTTAAATTCTAAATATAAGTTTGTCCATTATCTCTAGTTTTGAAGAGTCAGTCCTAATTGTTTCCTTTAGCGAGTTGTTTTTTTGTTAAAAATGTTTTCTTTAAGTTGACTTATTTTCTAATTTCTTTTAGGGGAAGCCTCATCCTGTATTTTTCTCATTAAAATCCTTAAGTTCTTTGATTTTTTAAAAACAAGGGCCATATTTTCTGCTTTTTTTAAACTGTTAATAGTTTTAGTCATTTTGAATCGGTCAAAGATTTCAACTTCTGAAATTCTGCTGTTGAAATATTACTTACAGAATTGTTTGTTGGTTCTTCTTAAAGTAGGCATCGTCTTCATGTAAAATGGAAATGTGTATTCAGCTGTCTTGCGTCTGATGAAAGTTGTCATGCGTTCCTGGTCGCGTAGTTTTGATTGGTTTGACTTTTGTCTTACTGCTGGACGTAGACAAACTCGTGCAAAATGTCCAATTCTATTACATTTGTTGCATCTTGCCATTTTTGCACAACACTTCTCCTGTCTGTTATTATGATAAAGTCCACATTGTCCACATGATTTTTCACTTCTGAATGGCATTTCATATGTGAAACTCATTGTTGTTCTTCTTTGGGAATTTGAATTCGTAGTCTCGCTTGCTAAATTGAGAGGTTGGGAAAGACACTGATTTCCGCCACGTGTTATGCGCTGATTTTGTAGTTCTTCTGAAGATGGTTTTAATCGCAACACAATGTTCCGTTTTATATTTTAATGTTTCTTTCTTAGTGGAATACCACAGATACTATATAACATATACACAGGTTATCCTGATGTTTACAAATTAATATTAAAAACAGTAACAATTATTTCTAGTGGAAAGCCACAATACTATGTTATCACTTGGAAATCCAAAATCTAACTGTTCGATTTCTCTATCTTTACAATATTTTTCTAAAAATGGTTTCGTTTTAAACTGACCAATAAAATTTTAACATCTTTTGTTTCTTAAATAACAAAATAACCAATCAGGTTTTCAATACAAAATAATGTAAAATAGCAACATATGATTTTATAACAATGGACATTTTATCAGTAATAAGGTTTTTTTAACAACTTTATTAAGAGGAAGCAGACGGCTAAATTGACATTTATCACCTAAATATAATAACACTTTTTTTTAGCACCATTGATTGGACAAGGAAGGAAAAGCCACATTTATTCTTCCGGTTACATAATTATAAATTTGACATTCTATTGTTAAAACATATAGTACCTGTAACTTAACATATTTTGAAATTTCACACAATGTTTTGAAAATATGACCTTTAAGAAAATGATTATATTTATAAATTTTTGTGTTTAAAAGAAAATCATTATGCATATTTATTCATTTTTTTTTGTAAAAGAATTTTATCATTTTTCGGCCGCACAACACTAATAACTTAGGTGCAAAATGTCAGATCATTAGCTCGCTCCGTTTTTCCAGAATAATTATTATTATAGTGAAAAATGACCCAAAATTGAAAAGCGTTTAAACGCTTTTCAATCAAATCGGACTTAGAATAGCACAAAAATACGATTTTCAATGTATTTCTCGTATATGTCTTAGTTATATTTAATTTATAGTTCTGTTTAAAGTGCTCATATTTATCTATGTGAAAAACTAGAACGTTATGTTTTAGGCGTATAAACCTCAGTGGAGTTCCTTTAAAATCTAAGTGTATTTTTCGTTGATTTTCTTGAAATTGTTTGACTCATTTGACGGGATGCAGCTTTAAAATCGGTCTCCTTTTATGTAAGGCAAAGCTCTTGATTCATAGTTTAGAAACTGTATTATCTAGAGGCCTGATATTTGAAACTTATTTACTAAGTTTGTCAAAATTGGCCCCTGCCCGGAGATCCTTCTTTAACCTACACTTACATAGCTAAAACCTTTAAGAATCATCTTGTCAGGAGCCATAAAAGCTGAAAATTTGCCACGTGTCATTGTTTCTCTTTAGCTAATTCATTCAGAATATGCTCATTGGGTTTAAATCGAACATGTCCAAAGGATCAGCAAATATGTAGTTATTAAACTTTTAAACGACTTTTCTAAAATTGTATAGCTTACGGCTTGATATTTAATAATAATGTTGCATCACCTTGTTGCCCTCTTTTTCCAGCTTTTACCAATACCAGCGCTTACTACATAAATGTGATACATATGCATTTCTGCTTTTAAAATACATTATCTTAACCAGCAAACATTTACAATCATAAATTATTATAATAATTTATCTCAGAATTTCTCGTCTGCTAACATGTGTGATTAGTATATTTATTATGTATGATTACAGGAAACACATCGGTTGGTTCTCATGTAGCCTGGATTTTGGACTAGCTACTTCTTCATGTACATTATCTATATTCTCCTGACTTATATTTCAAATTAATATATGTTCCGAATGTGTTAATAAAGTTGATGATGGAACTGTGAATGTTTTTTTCTTAAAGAAAACAAATTTAAAACTGTATTTGGATCGAAAAAGTTTTTTTCTCCCTAAAATGTAGACAGAGTCCATCTATTATTTGTTCATTTACTTTGGCAGTCTTCTGTATTTTTCATATGTAGTATGGAATTCATCGTTTATAGATACCGATAGATACCGATAGAGAGTCACTATAGCAATTGAATTTAAGAAAGTTCATTCACATTATCTAAGATATATGCTCGGGAGGTCTTCTAACGATTTTTCAAGATATATTAATGTCATTCATCAAATATCGACTACTTTAAAACAAAAATGTCCGAGACTTAAAGACATCACATATTTGATAAAAGCTGAAAAATATTTACAATTTTTACAATAACTTATATTAATTTGACAGTATATTCCCTTCTACGCACAAATGATTGCATCGCCAATACCATAGCATTCATCGTAAGTGAACGACTTGCCACCTTCACATGCCACGAAGAGATAACTTTTCTTTAAATAAAGCGAACAAGTCTTTAATCCTAAACCATCATTCTGTAATTGAAGGTGTATTGCCTTTGCCAGTCAGCCCAGCCTTTGAATAGAATACTCGAACTTAAGGTATGACCCCCACGCCCCCACGCTCCCTATGCACAACATCCGCTTTGAAGGGTACTCAAATAGGCTAAAACCGAGGGACGTGGGTTGAAAGCTCAGAAGGGTCAACTTTTGTCCCCTTTTTTCAGCATTATTTATGTATCTCTAAGGTACATCTTAACAAATATGGTACCTGATATTTTCAAAATATTTTAAAGTCAAAACTAAATGGTAGAAATATTTAATATTTGACAAAATTAACCAGTTTACTTATTTTTTTAATTTTACAAACTTATTAATTATCCCTTATTTAAGAAAATATTAAGGTGATCTCGAATAGGCTCTCTAAGTAGGAAATGGTCGAAAAAGTGTTTAAAATTTGTAGGATAAGGTAAAAAATTTATAAATATTTCAAATATCTAGAGTAGAAACATTGAATCATTTCCCTTCTATTTCTTTACAATAATCGGTAGGAACACATTTTAATCATGCTATTATAGCATATTGTTTCTGAAAAAGACACGTTCTCATAGACAGGCTTAAATTCAGAAAAATGTCTGAAAGGTATTTTTTTTTAAATTTTACATACAGGTGTCCTTCAAAAAATGGCCTATGTTGTCAGTTTTACTGTTCCTTATAGTGCCCATTAGTGGGGTCATACCTTAAATGTGGACATATCAAAAACACACGTTCAACAAGTTAACAGACTTGTTTAAACACGAAACGCTAACATATGCACGCTATACATTCGTTTTAGTTTTCCTATTTGTCTAATTTTGAAAGAATCAACTTTTGTTTGTTACCAGTTTCATGAACAGATTTTTTGAAATTTCGATGGTGGTCGGGAATTTTTCTTGTTACACAAACCTTGTATAAGTTTTCTGGCTTTGCTTTTACAAAACCTAGCATCATAGTCGTTAAATGTTTCGGGTGACGTCTATTATTCTTTGTAATCTTAACACTAGATCATCTTTTATAGAGGTAAGTAAAGCCCATGTTCTTTTTATAGCATATTTCATGTTTGGAATATATCTTTATAAAGTAAACAAAAAAGCTGACTAGATATCTTTTTGATAAAAAATTCATATGCAATAAGAAAATTTTCTTAAAATTTGGCTTTTTTGTACTGCATATTTTATATTATTATTTTCATAATTAAATGAAGTGAATTAGATGTCACCCGAAACATTTCCGTGCTTTGCTTTGCTTTTCATTTTGCTCAATGTACTAGCAGATCATGTGAGTTTCAGATTATTTTAACTTGAAAATAAATTCAACGATGTCTTTTGTTTTGATGTTCTGGGTGGCATCTAAGTCAATTCATTAATACACTGATATCACTATCTCAGTGTGCATAATCCGTAATATGATTGTAATATTCCTGAGCTTAATCACATTCAGATTAAAAAGAAAAAAAAAGGAATTTTTATGTTTCCTACATTTTAGTACCAACAACGACTACAACCGGCCCACCTACAACAACAACACCTCTACCAACCGTGCCGAGTAAGTCACTTTATCATGAAACAATATGTCGAACGATTTTCGTTCTTTCTATTTTAACAAAATGCTTGGGCATCATTTTTTGCTTTTTTATAATTGTTCAATGTAGTGATGTTATTTTTTCTGTCTTTCAATTATCAGTAAGTTTAATACTTATAGTGCTGTGAATTTACTAATGCTTATGAAGGTCCAGGGGTACGTGTATAACTCATATTATCTCCAACCAAATGGAATCTACAAGTTTATCCTTTTATGCTCCACGAAGGGAGAGCATATAGTCGCCGCTTTATCCGTCCGGCCGGATGTGCGTCCTTCTGTCCGTTCGTCCCATTTTCTTATCCGGGACATAACTCTGAATTTACAGGAGGTATCTACAAGAAATTTTGTAGGTAGATGAATGTCATTAAATACAAGTGTAGTGCACACGAACCATAGCTCTGCATTGCCTAATTTTAAAGTAATTACCTTTTCTCATTTTCGTCTGGGATATTAACTCTACAATATATATCAACAAGAAACTTCTTCTCTGTGTCCAAGACCTATTCAGGGAGCATCACCCGGTTGAACCGGCTCTTGTGGGAGCACCAACTCTTGTACGGAGCATTACCAAATGCTTCATTTTGTCAATAAAAAGCAATTTCAAATATGTATTTAATTTTGTACTTTTTTGTATGCAACGTTAGTAAATTCTTATCCTGTAAAAAAATTGAAATTAATGTTATTTTGCTGATTTATATTTTTTAAAAACGAGAATTGAAATATTTTGCTTGTAGCTGAAATTGTGTTGCCGGACACACAGCGTTATTTGACAGACTTGGTTAAATAAATTTCCGGAATTGATACAACTTTAAAACTTTAATTCTGTTTTTCTTAGTTTTGTTCTATAAATTTGCATGAAACAAACGTTTATATTTTGGTTAAATGTAAGATTTCACTTTAAGCCAAACGTTTATACACTATGTACTTGAAACTAAATGCTTTTTTGTTTGTTTGTTTTTTGTCAATCATGAGAAGGGATTTTGCATGTGACATATATGTATGACAATAATTGTGATCAACCTACTGCGAGCTGTTTTATTGTTATCTAATTTCGGTCACTTTAATTAATTTGTTCACTGATTTAGGAAGCTGTTTCCTGTGTCAAGGACCACCTCAAATATGTGAAAAGGTGAATTTTCCAGCAGATTGTCCGCTTGAGAAACAGTATTGTATAAATACACTCACAAACTTCCAGAATGCATCAAGACTTGTTGAAATGAAGTATGTAACATTTTATAAGTATTTTAACAACAAAATTGTGTGTATAAATATTTGTCTTGACATACATTTACTAAAAATAATTATGATTTATTGTAAAATCTTTTAAGATTTATAATACTTGAATACATATATTCATCATCTGATAGGAAACTAAGTTCATTGTACTGTGTTCATCCCGTGCAATATACAAAAAAAATCTGAATCAATTGAAAAAAGAGGTGCACAAACAAACGACATAAAACATACATTGTCGCTTATATTTAACAGAACAGAATAGAACTGATAATTTATTCAGATTTGTACTTAGTGCATCATCTTGTTTAAACATATCAATAAACATATATATATTTTCTCTATTGAGATTGCAGTGAATTTCGATGATATACATGTATTACTGTATTTGACTAAAACATAGTACTATTACCATAATACTTTTACACTGTTTTGTACATAAGCAAACAAATTACTTGTAAACTAGGTTTTGTTTTTGGCTGGTGGCTTATGAAGCAATAAAGATATTGTATTGTATTGTATTGTATATGTCAACGTGAGATATAATAAGAACAGACTTATTTTTTACAGTAATGATAGAATATTGAAAACATATAAATTAAAACAATTTGACGTGTATTAGGAGATAGACAGTTATACATAGTTTGACTTACAGAAAGCAATTTCGTATACTTACAAGTTTAGTTTTCAATTTAGTACACTTACATCGTAAATATTCTTACATGTTAAAATAAGTTTAAAGTTTATTATACTTACATGGTTAGTGTACAGTTTAGTTTACTTACAAGGTCAGTATACTTACATGTTAAAGTGAGTAAAAAGTTAGTATACTTACATGGTGAGTGTACAGTTAAGTATACTTACATGTTTAGTTTACTTACGTATTAGATTGAGTATAAAGGTAAGTTTACTTACATGGTTAATGTACAGTTTAGTGTACATGTACACATACTTACAAGGTTAGTACGCAGTTGAGTATACTTACATGGTTAGTATACAGTTAAGTATACTTACATGTTAAGTTTAGTTAAGAGTTTAGTATACAGTGATACGGTGTACATTTTCTTGAGGAATTATGTATGTCAATTACAGATGTGGAACGAGAGCTGACTGTCAGAAAGGATGGTTTGAGAGATACTCCTCCGACGACAAGTGCACAAGTTTCGACCAGGCTTTTATCTACACGAACCGGTTTGACTGTGAATTCTGTTGTGCCTCTGATAATTGTAATCAATTTGTTAATCCACCAAATAAATGGCATCCATAAAACGTGGTTGAATTAAGTTTACAAATGTGTCAATCACTATATCAAAAAAAGTTAACAGTGTCTTATATTGAAGAATTTAGATATGTATATTTTTTTATAATATCTGAAAAGGTTGATAAGACGTTAGTGCAAGAGGTCTAAACACGTATTCATGTAATAAGACAATATGTTAAATGTTAAGTGAAAATATTCAGTATAGAAAAATTTAACGGTTGAAATCTTATAATATGAACGAAAATTGATACTTGTCGTCACGTGTCTTGTATACTTTACTTGTCGCTACTTTGTCGTGTATTTAGTATTCACTTAAATAAATGTGTAGAAAAGTTATAGATTATTAACAAACTGTTGCATTATAAGATGAGACAAAATTTTATTCATCCATATATCTTTTTTTCTGTATTTTTGAACGACTAATAAACGAACTTAATTAATTATAAAATATGTTTTAAAAAGTTACGCATTATTGAATCTTCAGATATTTTAGGAAACTATTTAATTTTAGCAGATATATGTAACATAGATATATTTATTCATACATAAAAATCATTTATCGTGTCTGACAACCAGCATAATGTTTTGATGATTGGTTTGTACAAAGATCACAGAAAAGATCGTTAGTTTTCTTCGTTGTACATGAAGAGAAATGTACAACTTTATTTTTATTTCAGAAAATTACTGTGGTTTGTGACAAAACCGCATTAAGTGATAAAAAGATTTTTTCCAATTTATCACATAAAAATGTCTGCAAAATTTTAATTATAAGAATTTTTTTAATCAGAACGTGTTTTCAATAGAGATGTTAACATGTACGTGCGTGAAGCGTTTGTGCGTGTACATGTGCATGATAGCAAACTAAAAAGTGAGGTGGCCGCTTATAATATTTGTATTTATTTGATGTAGAAATGTCGGTATAAGGGTTACACGCTACTTGTATTTTGTTCTGAATGTTGAGCGCATCATATTTATAATCCGGGGGTCGCGGGCTCTATCCTCGGCTGGGGGAAGACAACGGATCAGGGCTGCTGCCCACTTGTGGAGAAATTTGTAATTGCTGGTTTGTTACCCTCATCTCATCATTGCAGCTTTATGAGAAAGATTTAGAACTGAATTCAAACATGAAATATCTATATGCATATGACTTTAACTTAACTTAATTAATACATCGGTTAAATATCTCGGTTTAAAATATATGTATTTGAAAAAAACTGAAACAGAACATCAAAAATAAATCTTTTAAGAACTAAAGAAGATCATTTCATTGTCTCTTACTTTACATTAATATTCTTGTCTATATCTAGTATTAATCCACTTAGAATGATACTTATACTGTATCAAATGGCTTTCCTAAAATTATTTTAAACTTTGGTCTGGCCGTAATTGTCTTCTTTTCCGTTTTACAATGCACTGTAATTCACTATTTAGAATTGATTATTGGTAATTGATATCAAAGTAATATTGTGATAATATGAATGTTGAAGTTGTTTTATGATTATTTATAAGTGATTTGTTCAGGTGCATATTGTAAGAATAGGTTGAAATAAATTATTCTCATTATGTTTTTGTGTATTTTCTTCCATATACAGCGCTCTCAATAGCAGCAGATAATAGTATGTTAATTTCTTCTGCACTTCATTCTACATAATTGAGCCGCGTCATGACAAAACCAACATAATGGGTTTGAGACCAGCATGGATCCAGACCAGCCTGCGCATCTGCGCAGTCTGATCAGGATCCATGTTGTTCGCTTACAAACCCTATTGCAAGTAGAGAAACTGATAGCGAACAGCATGGATCCTGATCAGACTGCGCGGATGCGCAGGCTGGTCTGGATCCATGCTGGTCGCAAACGCACTATGTTGGTTTTGTCGTGACACGGACCATATTATGCCCGTCGACGGCCCTCACTGTATTAATGAAAATATAGTTTAAAATAAAATCTTCTCATTTAATGTGACGGGGCAGTAAATAAAAGCAATCTTGAAAGATAATTCGATATCATTACAAACTACAACAATTCGGGCAAACGGATAAATACATGTGTCGGGCGATGTGTAAATTATATTACTGAAGTGATTAGCCTTTGGCTCTATTTTTAAACATTGACAAGCCGGTCAAATTAAAACATCAATTTTTTGATGCACTGGCTTTAAAATTTGCTTTAACTAACATGGCCACTTTGAAACACTATATATAACTACAAATCAGTTGAATATGATCTTAGTATTCGAATATTAGATACTTTATTTTTTACTTGCACAATAATTCAACGTCATACAAGTATAAACAATTTTATGATCTAAATATGTCCCTTTCAAATCAATATATTGGGTGGATTCTTTATATATTTTGTTGCATATACTATATCTAAGGTATTTCTATGAGACATCGCTTCTCTTACATTAAAAGTATACTTCTATTGTATGATTCAGCATTTCATTGAATTTAAGCATAACAGGTCTAGTATCATAGTATCATTTTATTTATATCATTCCCATACATTTATCATTACTATATCTTGCAGTATTTATGTAATGGTCACACCCTCCAATGAATTAAGACTATTCACTATTTTCCGTGTGGGGATGGTAGCGCAAAAAACGACTAGTGATGTTGCTACGTTTTCATTTGGACAGTCGTTTTGCCGTCTTAACTAGTTCATTAGTAAAGGCAATGACAAAACGACGAACTTCCTATTTATCTTTTTATTTTTGTTTATTTTTTTTTTTTGCATCGTAATATCTACAGTTGTTTCAGCAATGCTATCACCACTTATTAAAGATATAGAAACTTTCGGAATAATAATAATAATAATAATAATAATAATGGCAAATCTTTTGTATTAAGTTAAAGCAAAATAAATCTTCATTAAAAATTAATGCTTTGAATAACAGAACTTCAGAACACAAAGGATCGACTTTCAGATTGAAGATTAACGTTGATCGATTTTATTGGCATGTACTTTAACTCGCTCTGTATAGAAAAGCTATAAATAGCTATGTAAAAGCTATAGCCGTATTATCAATATTGACGGTTTATTTACATACTTAGTTGTCAACGCAGGAAAATGGAGTGTACCTTGTAAAATAGGTAAGATTTTGTTGTGTATATATTGTTTATTTCTTGCACGACTGGTTTATTTAATTATGAATGAAATAATACGCAGTTTAAGCTTTTAAGTTAGATAGAGGTGGTTAGTAACTGTTGTTAAATGTAGGGGCTACAAATACTTGCATACAACTTGATTATCAGTATGTATGCATGCCATTAAAAACTTCTTTTGGTTATTTAGAATATATTCTCCTAAAAAAATTGATTATAAATTTCAGTATGCCAATGTTATTGTAATAAGAAATAAATCAGCTTTGAAGACATTTCCAATGATAACTCGTATAATTGTGACATAATGAAACAAAGGCAACTAATGACTTTCAATGATTTTTTACATAAATTTATATTTATACTCGTCACCCAAAAAACACAACTTTTTAATGCTGTATATGCTCAAAAAGATTTCAATAAATTTAAACTGTTTGTTCGACACATGAGTACATATGTATGCAGTAGGCATATCGAATAAAATTAACGAACCTGCTAATCAACTTATCAATCAATAAACTGATAAAGATTACCGTAGTTTTCGCGTTTATTTCTTTACATTTAACAATAAAAATTTAGCTCTGACTTAAAAACACTGTAAGCGGATGTATTTTTTTTAATCGAGAATATTATTTACCTAATTCAGATTTAAGCGCACATCGATTGACAAATCCATTCTGATTTAATATGGGTTCAGTAAATCCAAGGTATGAAATATAATCAATAAAAAATATATGAGGTGAAAATACATGTAACCTTGAAAATTTTATCATAATTAATTTTTTGAAAATAATTAATTAATATACCTCCATTCAAATTAAAATTTGATAATTTTATTTCTTTTTGTTTTTATTGATAGAAACGATATAAAATTGTAAATGCTATATTACCATAGTAACTTACAAAAGACGGAATATTGTTTCCTTCTTTAAAGGCACGTTATACCTCAGAAATTCTTCTTTTTTTTCATTTTTAGTAATTTTTTTAAGTTTTATATTTCCCAAAAAGGCACTCATAGAATAATTATTTGAACGATATTTTTCTTTTGTTTCTTTTTTGCATTTAGTCATAATATAAGAATTTTGTATTCTGTATGGAAGTCAAAATACTTCTTCGTTAACATTCTGCTACTTTTTAACAAATAAACACATATTCAGAAGTGTTGAGCGGCTAAAATGCTCTAAAACCATACATGCTCTATAATCGTTATACAAGGATGTAACAATACTTAAGTGAAATTTGTGTATGTATATAATTATTCCTCTTAAACAATTTCCATTTTAGAAAAGACTGCAAATGTTTATTTACATTACAAGTAATCTTAAAATCTATACATTCATTTCTTAGACTTTATCGAAAATAGATTTCTTATAACCTCACTTTATTTACATGTAATGTAAATTCGGTAATATCTTTCACAAATAATACCTTTTTTGAACGCACAATATTGACAAAACTTCACTTGAGCATCAGATTACCATACAAAATTGAGTTACAGGATCTCGGAATAATTTATTTCCAATATTCGCTATCTTCGTGTATTCATGCAATAGATCAACTCTACTAGTATTTGAAAAATTATGCCGGCTCGCCACGGCGAGCCGGTATTACGGTAGGATTTTACTTAAAAACAACCTAAAACTCCGAATCCATCCAAAAATTTAATCTAAGCTTGGCTTCCAGCTTTCTACAAAATTTATCTGTCTGGGCTGGAATCCAAAATAATTAAGCCAATCAAATTTGATCTTACATAACGTCAAAAAACCTTCAATTTTCACGCCATTTTTAAAAAGGAACAAGTATTGCTTTGAGCGCAAAGATGATAATGATGATAAAATATTTGTTTTCATGAATTCTTTTCAATAAATCATATTTACACTGACTTTTGATTTCGCGATTTCACCTGTTTTCTCTGTAGTAAGTTAAATAATTAACAATTAATTGGTTAATTAACATAAGTGTACATCTGGTGCTGTGCATATTTTCTTTTTCTTTTTTTCCGGTAATTTTATCCTTTCCGGTATTTTGTGTATGTATTTACTGGGATATACTATTCTCCGGTCCGGTCGCTTCCGGTCTCTCCAGGTCTATTTTGACCGGGATTTACAAGACTTGAGAACTTGTACAAATCAAATAATCATGCCCCATGAATCTAAATTCGCCCACACCCAAGAGAGTTCTTCAGTAATATATTCCTGTATAGGACTTGTGTCTGTCACTCATTCCAATACTAAATAACATATTACAACTTAACTTTGTATAAAGATACATCTTTATGAATTCTACCTATCTAACATTTTTTGGTCAAGGTCAACAGGCCATATAGTAAATGTGCATAGACATAGGGACTTCATTCTATCTGTTTACATGCATCTTCATATATACTCATATTCCCCTTTGTTAAACTGAGAGAACTGGCTTCCGTAACTTTATATGTCACTTTTATTTTGATGTTCGCTGAAGTCTCTTCAGGTACAGAACTGTCATTTTTACATTTAAACCGCCCATATTTAAACACACCCCTGGAATAAAATTACGAAGCGAGTCGCTACTAGCTTTTTTAAAAGCTAACCTTGTGAATGTATTATATTGGGGCGTATTATTATTATTATTATTATTGTACTATTGTATTATTATTGGGGTATTATATATGTTGGCGTTGAATAATCCTAACCATTTAGCATCTTCATAGGAACAATTATGACACTTGCTACATTTCGTCATTTCAACAAAAAAAATATCAATCTTACATTACTGCATCTTCACTGCATTCGTAAAAAATAAAGAGTTAGCACGTATACTTCGACTTCTATTTAGTACGCTCATGAGGTGTAAGGCGACTGATTTTTGTTTGATTTAATCAGGTGTTTTAAAAAAATGTAGTCTTTGCTATCTATCGATTAAATGAAAATGATGGTTAGTTAGTTGTTATTTACAATATCTTTTATATTAATTGCGATATTATATATTCTTTTCAATGCTTCATATCGGCATATATTTAAACTTACTAGTATACCGATGAACGTTTACAACCGTTATTCATAAAGTTATTCATAAAAATACAAACTGCCATCCTAATAAAATCACGTTCTTGTTAAATACCTAACTTTTATTAAGGATTCAATGACCCATGTTTAGATGGTCTCAAAAATAAGTACTACAACATTACATATTAAAGAAGCAGAAGTTATATAATAATCTAGAAAACGAAAACGAATACAAATTACTTCTCTCAAAAGCAAAAGTTGCAGCAAAAGATCATACAAAAATATGTAATATCACAATTTACATTCCAGAACTAATTAAAGATGGACTGGACGGACGTTGAGTTTTCCACCGACCTTGTACAGTCTGCTTATTTACATCTATGCTTCCTTGACAAGGTCGATAACTTTGAAAAGATCCTAAAAGGCGATGCACTCAAACATGCCGTGAAAAGGTATGAGCAATTATGGTTACCCCTTGTCAACGACAACCAGTCTGTAGAGATGGTACCGCCAGTAGATATCCATTGGTTCTGGTATATGCATATGCTTCAACCACTGGCATATAGAAGAGATTGTCGCAAAATGTTCAAAACTACACTCGATCATCGATTTAAAGCTGAATCAAGGTTAATTCCAGGTACAAACAAAGCCATCGAAATTTGGTATGAAACATATCCTAAAGAAGGTTTCAATATCATTCGAAATGATGAGTACGTAAGACCTAAGAGGAACAAAGGACAGATAAATTTTGAAGAATCATCAAAACTGTCGGTCGATTTAGTGAGTTTAGCAGAGGCACATATGCATTTTTGCTACCAAGTAGCTTTACCTCATTTCCGGGACAAGAAATATTTAGAAAATGCAGAGAAGAGATATAAGCAGTTTTTGTGCTTAAAGAAGTTGGAACCGAACGAATTTTTAACGCCTTCTGTTGATATTTTGCTCATGTGGTATACACATATGTGTCACCCAATCTCTTATGCGAACGATTTGATGCGTATATGTGGACAAATTTTGGACAATACGATAAAAATCAAGCCAGCAGTAATAAGTGATAAATTTTTATTGGCGCGGGAAAAAACAAACGAACTATGGAAACGTGTATCTACTGAAGAACTTGTTCAACCAGGTACTAAACTCCGATCGAATGAAACTCAGAAAGAAATTGTGCAGATGACCATAGAGGATCTTACAGATTGTTGTGTAATTGTATATAGAATATATCTCTCCCATGCTGACCTTCAAAACGTTTCCGTAAGACGGAAACATCAACATCTCAATCTGAGACTTTATCTTGTGCAACGGAAAGGAGGCATTTTGAAGGAAATGTTATATTTGAGTGGTAATAAACAAATGTGGGGGTTTTCAACATCGTTTCCATTTAATACAGTTGAACACAAAGAACTTAAAGTTGTTTTATCAAGAACAATTAAAATGTGGTGCATGAGTGACGAAAGAGAAATAGCGAGTGCTACAGTCAATGTCAGACGAGAGATAGATAAGATGAAACCAATGGAACGCTCCGTAAGTCTGAATGTTGACCTGATATCTGAAGACGGTTCAGAGGTGATAAAATTAGTGCTAGATGGTGCCGTAGATAAACCTCAACCATTGTTATGTGATTTAACATTACAAAAATCAGATTTCGTGCTTAAAAAGCTCTCTAAAAAGGAATTGTGCGCGGTTTGGGGGCACGAGGGATTACCGGAAAGTTTCCGTAGTCAGGAGCATTCCTGCTACACAGCTACACACATGTACGTATTCTTATAATTATTATCAAGACAAAACATATCATGCTTATATTTATTGCCCAAATTTTCTTTAACAAACAATACTGATGATGACCAACGGCAACCTTCCATGCTGATTTCTAAGATTAATGATTATTTGTCTAAGTTATAGAACTATTTAAACTGACATTTTTCAGACTGTTGAATCATGAAAACAATGAAAGTTTCCGGTGTTGTGTCATGCATATACCAGAGCTTCTCCATTCTGCTGTGGAGATCATTTATAAAAAGAGGCTCGTTGCTACGTCACATCTTATTGGATCGTCACAGCTTCCATACCCATCACAGGTAATTCATATAATTATAGCTCTAACGACGAAGTAAAAACACGAAGAAAAATCCCATAATATTTAAAGTTAAAATTATGATGATGTTATCAATATGAGTTTATAGTATGAAACTATCTGGAATGGTTAATATAGTAGAACAGTTCATCTGTTTGCGCTGTCAGTTCCCTAACTTTCCTAACTTTGACTTGAAATGAGATCCTGAATTATATAGAATATGCTTGTTCTCCTCGGATAGCCGCTCGTATCTTAAAATTTTTCCATTAAAGCATATATTGTCTCGTACAAGTGAAGACTTGAAGTTATACCGCATATTAAAATTAAAACTAGGTTCCAGTTTAACAATTTTGTCGGAAGAAATATAAATATACAAAAGAAAATGTCCACAAAAATGTCCTAGCGTCTTTTACGGACACTTCATCATGAGCATTACATAGAAATGTATTCTATTTTAGAACGACAATTTGCAAGCATGAATCTTATTAAATGTATTACAGTTTTACGAAATCATTATTGTCGACCGTTTTTGCATTGTCAGATGCGACTTTAATGTACATGTAGAATAACATTCGTAATGCTTCATGCATAACAGCAAAATTATTGCATGAAACAAATCGCCATGAGTATATAATATGCTATTTAAATTTGTAGGTTGAGCTACAAGACATCACAACGGCATTTGATCCAGAGTTAGGTGAACGTGCTATGTTAATAAGAAACCATAGTGGCGACTGGGGACTCTGTATAGCACGATGGAGTCAAGGTAACAAAGCATATGATGTCATAAAAATAACTCCTGACATACATAGGATGTTCTAAATCATGTTATTATTATGCAGTGAATTATATACATAGTATGATTTCCAAGCTGCTTTCAATGGTTGTCAATGTCAGTTAACATGGGAAGTATTTTGATTGAAACATAAAACGTTATGAATAGCTGTGTTTCATAGTCAAATAAAAGGGCTGAAATGTACTAAATATACATAAACATTTACAGAAACACACAATATCCTCTTCTTACTCAACGTGCATGTATTTGATGGGATGGGATGTTTGAAACAATTAGTTAGAGATTCTTGTCCATTATGGTCCAGGATATACGAAAAGTACTTGTCTGCCAACAGAACAGTGTGATAACTATCTTTATTTGAGAGACCAACATATTAACATCATAGCCAACTTTGAATGTTTATAAAAGGAAACAACAATACATCATGTGGTATTGAACTAATTTACCGTTAAATGTCACCGACTGTGTGGACAGCAACTTACTAAATAATGTAAGATAGAGAAAAACGGAATCCTTAAAAGACAAAACAACAAAGTTGAAACTGTTGCACACTCGGTTTGATTGAGCCTGTTCGTGGACAGTTCTGGAAAGTGCAAATTACTGTCCACGCCTCAAAGCAGAAATAAATTCGAGCTTGATATTTAATCTATACTGCATTTATTTTTCAGATGCTGGCGGCCTAGAGGTACGTTTCATGAAACTTGCCGGCAGGAATAAAGTACAGCATATCACAATCCAGAGCGTTGACATCGAATTTCAGAGCTTCAATGCTAGCTTATATACAGGGAAGGTATTGGTTAACCCAAGTAAAAACACAGTAGCTGAGAATCTGGCCACTTACTGGAGTATATGTGTTTTGTATGTGCTCTGTTCTCCAAAAAGTAGTAGAAGACAACTTTTACTGACACAAGCAGGTACATCTATACTGTTACGTAGTAATGATGTATAGAATTGAAAAATTTACATTAAAAAAAGTTTAGACCACAGTTTTAGCCCCTGATCCTACATAAATGAATTCTTCAAGTACATTATCACTTACATAGATTTGTTCGTTCTATATTTATATAAATGTCATAGGCCCTTTAAAGATATGATATTTATGATGTCAGCAGTCCACAAAAATTATAATCACCTCCTGATAAGCCACTATCGTCCCATTTCTCGGACCGCTAAAATCTAATGGTGTATTTCCGCGAGGAAGATATTACAAAACACGCATTATACAAGCTAGCTAGAAAAATTGCAGTACATTTTACTAGACATTCTGTTTTTAAGCAATATTATTTCTTTCCTCGTTGAATCTTTTCAATTATGTTGAAGTAAAGTGTGGTATAAAATAATAAATACCTCACTGCACTTCGGACCCTATAGCATTACAGTAAGTTCCCTGTCCGCCTCAAACAGCCTCTGTCCGTTAAATGTTCGGAGCTGACTGGGACGTCACTTTACATGTTTAACCTTCAGTGATGTGTTCTGCTTCATTAATAACATATAAGAACTATGATATATCTTATTTCAGAAATGAAACCCTCCGATGAAGTATCAGATGGCGATAAAGAAGTTCGATCAGTGTTTGTTGAAGAAATGAATTGCCAGTTTCTTCTAGCGGCCGGCTTGACTACGGAAACTCCTAGTAATCAATATATGCGCACTAGGTTTGGGTCTCTTACTTATGATCTGCTCTTAGATGCACAAGGTATCATCGTAGAAGAACACAAAACCAGCCGAAGATTACTGAAGAAAGAGGGCATCTTAACAGAAGATTCTTGCTCATGTGAGCCGACCAAACGGAAACGAAAGAAGCGAAAATCACATCTGAAAGATTTAGAAGGGACCGAACGAAAGGAAAGAGTGTTTGTAGAACCTAATTCAAATAAAGTAACAAATAGTGATCACCCAAACAAAATAACAAATATGAATACAATAAAAACGGATGCGGTAAATGGTGATATAGAATCCAAGAAAAATCCTGTTGTAGTAAAAACAAAAAAATTGAAATCCAGGCAATCAAGTAAATTAGAGGATATGTTAGCAATGTCAGATGACAGTATAACTAAAGACGATGTAATGGAAACGAAACTCGTGAAAGATGATAAAGGTAGGAAGATTGTGATAAGAAAAATTTCAAGTCGTATTGATGAACAGATTGCGCCGTCAGAAGACAGCTTAGATGAAGAGATTAAAGAAAAAGAGGAATTTATTAAAGGATTAGATGTTGACAGGAGAAGTTATAATGGAATATCGAGCGGAGACGAGTCGCGTTTGATTGAAGGGGGAAACATTGACCAATCAAGCGGTTCCAAGTATCAAATGAGTGATAGCTTAAAAGTTGGTGAATCAATAATTAGAGAGGAGACTACATTAATAAAAGAAAAAGTTGAAAAAAAGAAGAGGCAGGCAATAGAAAATGACAATCAAAGTGATAGTACGATAACAGGAAGAAGTCCAAAACGTAATGACCCAAATACCGTTATCTTTGATCTGTTTGGTGATGAAGTTAAAGAAGCTAATTCTAGTATAACTGAAACAAATTTAAGTACCCTTGATGATACAAGATCTGATTCCTCAAGTATTACTCGGGAAACTAGACAAAGCAGAAAGCAAAGAATTTTAAAAGAGAGAGAAAGCAAATTTCCATTATCTGATGAAGATACTCGGGAAAATACAATTAGCAACCAGTCGAAGAGAAGGAGAAAAAAGTCAAAACAAAAACTAGAAGCGAGTGTTTTAGAAACTACATCAGAAGTGTAAATTTAAAAGGCAAATCTGAATTTCAAATTTTATTAATACCCTGAGTGCAAATACATCTACTATATTTATTCAATAAACTATACGTAATCATCAACATTAATTTGATTTTTTTCATTTTGCATAATTTTTATCTTAATTAATACAAAATATGTAAAATAAACTACAAACAAATATTTTTATAGTTGTCGGTGTATTTCCGCAGGCAGGTTTAACAAAACCATCCATCTTATTTAAATTAGAGAAAATAAGTTGTGACAAGGCTGTTGAATAATGTCTATATAGTAAAACAGAAAGAAACAAACAAACAAAAAAAATATTTGAATAATAGGGATTTTTTATTCCATTTGTACATCATGTTATACGTAACAAGACGTTTTTAGCTCAACTTTTCGAAGAAAAAAAGATGGAGCTATGTCATCACCTATTCGTCGGCGTTTATGTTGGCGTTGGTTAACCTCTCAGAAACTATAAAAGATTTTCAATTCAAACCTGGTATACATGTGTATTGTCATAAATGATGCCATTTCAAAATAGTACTGGAACAATTTTATGCAAAGTAATGTTCCTTTTTAACTTTACTTTTAGCCCTGGTCAACGTTTTTATGTTCAGCTCCATGTTCTCATAAACTAATAAAGCAATTCACCTAAAACTTGATTAACCATGCTCATTATCAAAGTGTGACACCAGGGGAGATAATCCTAAAATACCTTTTTGCAAAGTTTGTCCCTTTTTACGGATATATGCGAGTTTTTACTCGGGATGATAGGGCGTTCGAAGAGGAACCTGTAAACATATGGTTAGCACACAATAAAATAGAAATAAGTGTTCAAATGAAGAACACAACAGCTCTCGCTAAAAGATTCTCATTTCATGTGCTCGCGAAATACATACATATATCATAGTAATTTATGTTTACAATGTTTTATAACATCAAATATACCTGTAATTATATGTTTAGCACCCAATGAAATGAAAATAAGGGTTCAATGAAGAAAACAACAACTCTCAATGTAAGATTCTCATTCTTGTGCGCATACGTGAATGTTAGCGTGACCAAATGAGGCCCGTCAACGTGTACAAGTAAAATGAAGTTATTAGTATGAAGTTGAATAATGATATTAATGATTGACTAAGAGACGATAGTGAAATGATATAGAGTATGGGTATGAAATACAGAGTATTCTAGCAAAGACAAAATGACTTTAAACTTAAAATACTTGCTCAACTTTTGAATTTGGATGCATAATTAATGGACTGGTAACTTTATAATTTATTTTTTTCTCAGTTATACCCCCATTCTGACTTAGAAATTATTGGTAAACCTTTTTTATAAAAGTACATTTTTCAAAAAGTATCAAAGGTATTCAATTTAAACTTGGAATGCTTGTTAACTATCAAATTTGAAATGTAGATAATCCTGAAAGATATTACATTTTTTATAATAATTTTTATGTTCTCAAAACCCATCAAAGGTATTCACTTCAAACTTGAAACATTTGCTGAACTTAAAGGTCGGGAAAGTCTGCTAAGCACGTTAGAAAAAAAATGATCTCTTATCTAAGGTGCTTTAATTTGCTATCCAGTACTGCGAAATATGTAGCGCGCTGTACACGGACAGGTCATGTCAATAATTTCAGCCCAATTTGCAAGTCTGACGGTCCTACAGAGATAAGTCGCAAATTGTTTGTTTTCTTCATTCAAACTTATCACCGTCTATTGCTTTTACTAATTGTTTACTTGCACCATACAACAGTCCACATACATATCAACGTATTTACCTGAAACATCGGCATAAACATGTTGAACAAACTATTTATTTAAGAGTAAGTGACTCAAACACTTCATTTCTGGTAACTGTATCCCGAGCTCGAATAATAAGCTCTGTTCGACCAAAATTGAACGATATTTCAGTTGAAGCGCTATTGAGATTTGACCCTTCGTGGTCTCCAAATGACACTTCAAACCTTCCTATACAGTTACAATCCCGTTCGTCTGTCATTCTCGTGTCCTTACTTTCACTTGCAAAAACGAAAATAAGAACTTCTCTTTGGTCGCGTTCTAGGGGATAGTATTCGTTAGCCGATATCCACTCGTCTATCTTTACTTCCTGACCTCGCAATACATGTGGTGCAAATACTCCACTGACGTACGCATTTCCGTTCAAGGTAAATTTCTTGTCTTTTGGGTACTTTGAGCTATATGGCATAGTAACACCTATACCATACGTCATGCGAACGACACGTGACGTAAGAATCTTTTCATTGTGACCAAACAATACAGCGCCACGTAAAACCGCCAATTCACAGTGGGTTGGACGCTTGACTAAGATTCTTAGTTTTTCTTGAATAACTTCTTTCATTTCATCGTTCATGAAATTGGAGGAAGCAAAACCTCCAACAAGAATAACGGCATTTATTGGCTGTCCAAGTGCCTTTACATTGTTTGCGACTTGTGTCACGTAGCTTATGATTTCTTCTAGTGAAATTTTCATCATTTTGCGCAAGATTTCTCCTTTGAAAACTAATTTTCCAAATTCAAACTCCACTTTTTCTCGTGTTTTATGTTTTTGTTTGAGAGCTTGTGTGATGTCCATCTCATGATCACGTTCGAATTCCTGTATAATAGCACCCGGGATAGTTATTAGAAATTCGTCACGTGTTCGACTATGTCGTAATTTAGGCAAAATGTTCCTTTTAGCTGTTTCAAATGACATTCTAAAATCATAGAATTCTACAGGGTATTCCCGGCTGAATTTGCTCCACAATGATTTACCTAGTATATCAGACATGAAGTCGAAGAATTTTTCGTCAACTTTTTGTCCTCCTGCTGGCCCACCAGCTGCCATGTGTATTTGCTTCATAGTTCCGTCTTTCTTCACTTTAATTGTAGTTATATCAACAGTGCCTCCTAAAATGTGAAATGAAACATATGTTAAAATATACGTAAAAAGATTTTACCATATATTGAACCTTATATGGTATTTTCTGAAAAACGAAATATACCAGATCATTAATACTTTCCTTACAATTTTACCAAACGTTGAAGCGACTATCAGAAACATTCTGCAAGATTAGCAGTTCGGGTTGACCTCACAAATGCCGACATCAATTCAAATGACACATAATACTTAAATACACCTTTCTACTAAATAATGACTTATGTGGCAGTAGATATGCTCTCTTATGATAGTTTCTTTAAATCATTTTCATCAACATGTTTTGTGGCTCAGCCTAAGAGATTTGTTGTGTGATTTTCATAATACACTCATCTAATCTTGTACATGTTATAGGTAAAGATTTCACGAAATCCTTAATTGTGAATTGTGTCGGAACATACATGTTATTCCAAAAATTGCTAGGGATAACATGTAATTCCCATTTGTAAGCTATTTAACACGAATTCTCTGACCACTGATTTACAATAAATTTTCATTTGCAGCAGCCATGTTCTTTAAAACATAAGTAGATATTAGACAAAGAAACTTTCGTAGACTTTAAACAACATAATTTTGTCAATGTTCAAATTAGTTTAACATTAATTTGTCGACAATTTTAACATAATTACAACTTTGATTATTTTATAAAGTGTCTTACATTCATAGTGATTATCTTATATTTTCGTGTTCAGATAAATTCCATGGGTTTCAGTCTGAGGACAGTTGGCAATTATGACAATTGCTCTGACATCGCCATGTACTATTCTTTTATTCTTTTTCTGACATGGCATTATTAAGATGACCTAATGATAAGGGTGTCATTTGTTTGTCTTTATATTTGTATTTAAATTGATTCTTCCGCCTATTCTGCAGATTGACTAGTTAGTACACGAGTTTTGTTATATACTAGTACGCACCCCAGGATGTATAATTCCAATCATCACAGCATTGCTTTTACTTGTGCAACGGATAATGTGGTATTCCATTTTAACTAGTTCAATGTTTTTGTTGTTGCTGTTGGAGTAATATATTAGTACATATTGTGTATAAACATCGTCTTTTTTCTCAATAAAGTACTGTGATAGTTAGTATACAACTGCTTAATATTGGTCGAAGGAGTCTAAACACCGACAATCAGGTCATATGTATATAAAAACTTGCAAAACTGAAACTATTAATTGAGCAGAAAATATTATTGCCACTAAAATTGTTCAATGAATTAGAATTACTTTGTTAGCAATTATATCACTGGTAGCAAAATATCTTGTTATGGAAGTCGTGTAGAAATGCAAGAATTTGTTATCACTGATAAAAGGTGATATTTCATAAGTCCTCAATTTTATCAGTGATATAAAACACTGAATCCTTAGGATATTTCGTGACTGAAATTCCATGAAAACGCATTTCCCAAGTTAATTAAGAATAAACTGACTGAGTTACCTCCCATGTCAACTATCATATTTGTAGCACCAGGGCCTGTTGGCAAGGTCCGATCTAAATCACGACGCGGGTCGTCTGGTGGATTTGCCTCTGTGGTTGTACAATAAACAGCTGCAACTTCGGGTTCCAGGGCAATACAAAGGTGTTGTCGGTCAATGCCAGCCTACGTGTACGTAAAATTGGTATTATATGAATTCATATTTGTAACATTTAAATTTTAGTATTAATAAGCTGCTTAATGAAATTATAGTTAGTCATGTTCAGTTTTGACCATTGAAATATTGATGGTAAGAAGCAATATTAAAAGATGTATAAATATCAAATATTGTTTATTATCATACAGGTAACACAATACGGTATCATTAAATTCCTGACAATCAAAGTAGTCCTAACGCCTTGAAAGACGGGTATGTACGATTGAAATGATTTCAATTATTAAATTAATGCACTATCGCAAAGCAAAAACGAAGAACAACAAAAATAAGGAAGAAAAAAACAACCAAAAAATAACAACAAAAAGCTACAACCGAGATATATTTTTAAAATGTACATACATACATACATACATACATACATACATACATACATGCAAAAAACTACCTACCTACCTACCTACATTTCTACCTACACATGTATATTTACTGAGAATTTTTAACTATTTAAGATACTAATAGTTACTTCTTGTGCCGCTTTTCTCATCAACTGTTTAGCACCCTCTGTCCAAATCGCGGGAACTGTGAGCACCCATTTTGTCGTCTGCTCCAAATAACTACAGTTTGTTCTTTCCAGAAAATTTAGTACATGGTTCCTCATCCACTTGATTGATTCAGAGAAAACGAACAACGCCGGAAGTTCATTTCCATTCTCACTAATTAGAACAATGTCTGCGGTAATGTCCTATTTTTCAAAAAGAAAAGAATGTATCTAAAGATTCGAATTATTCTACAGTTACAAAAAAGGAAAGGCAGAGCTAAATTATGAAACTTAGACATGTACTTTTCTTTTTCAGATTCGAATCAGATATGCAATTTTAGACACATGAACTCAGACGAATGGTACAGCGGCCAGAGGGCATTTTGCTTCAGTAGCTTTCCTACTCAAACAGGATCCTTATAATTTCGATAAATGTAACAGAAGTAATGTTTAACTGATACTCTGATCACCACTTATAATGATATGAAAAGAAAGATTATATTTGATGCATGTTACTAATCTAAAGATTGAGCACCTTTTTCATTATTAAATTAAAATCTTGCTACAGAGAAGAAACGTACTGGAACTTTTTTCAATAAAAACGTTATGTCGTCTTTAGTCGCATGGTATTTTGATATTAGTCTTTAGTATGTTTTGTTATATGTTATCCGAAGTCTTTTAGGGACCTCTGTTTACCAACACAGCAAAACTAAACTAAAATGTTATATAAAAAATCTATGTCAATGTAATTATAATTAACCTTTTCATAAATTTGCATTTTGAAGTTTCTAAAGAAGAACCAGTTGTGTGGATAATCTCTTGGTCTTAGTTTAATATACTCTTGTTCCGCTTCGTCTCCAAACCAAGTCTCTGTTCTGTCAGGGTTGACCAGCAAACATGTCGGTGTTTTGTACTGTGTCCTCGCTGTCCCCCATTGAAGGTTCTCGTAAATTCTTAGCCGGTCTGACTTAAAATCTGCTCTTGTTTGAAAGGCATATCCTGAACCAGTTGTGCCGAAGTCTATTCCTATCACAAGCTGGGGCTAAAAAGGAATATGGTTTTGCACGTAAGATATATTCGTCATTATTTGTAGCGAGTTTCTAGTAGTAAAACTCTAAAGGTTTTATAGCTTTAACTAAAGAACTGTATCTCAAAACATTTCTTTCTATTTTTAATCAAATTGCTTTCATATTTTTAAAGTCATATCTAGAGAGAGTTTAATTAAACATTTATCTGATTACTAAATCAACACGTGTAGATTATAAATGAAAACAGAGGTTTGCAGCTGTTATATTCAGAAGGTTTTATTTCGCCATGCTTTTTCTGAATTTTACAAATAACATTTTATAAATGTATGTACTTTGGTCCATTATAGATAATTACGTCAGATAGCACATAACATGTAAAACATATTATTATACATGGTTAAAATTACAAAAAAATAATGATATGTTAATGATGTCATGAGCAGCAGATGAAAGAAGTTATCCATTTCTCTTTGTTAACAAGGGGAGGACAGAATAAGGACAGTATTAGAGCAATTATTTAAAAGAAATCGACACAATCTCGTGTTATTAACCTAAAGCTTCTTTGTAGCTTCATTGTAGTATTAGAACCAACTACCTGTCAGCACACATAATTATATTGTATTGTAGGCTAGAACTTCGCCTAGAAGTAATGACAATTAGTTAAATAAATTGTTGATGTTGTTTTAAATCCTTCTAATATACATGTGTAATGATTCATTCAATGATTAACAGTTACTATTAATTCGAAAGAACGCAATAAATTTATTACACATCATATTTACAAAACTTCCTTCTTTGATAAGATAGTATATGATACAGAGCGCATTTGCTTAAAGATGTACTATGCAGTCAAATTTGATATAAGAAAATATTGACAATGGATACACAGTCTCATTATAAATATAAAATAAACATGTTTTGAATTCTTACAAAGTATGGTATATGTTATGCTTTAAATTTAAACTGTACACACGATAGGTGGTCATAATAAGAATATATACTGTTCTGTCATTAAAAAACGGGCAGTTTCTTTAAAGAGAAGGGAAACTTTACTTGACCTGTAATAGGGAACGCAGCTTCCCATTCATAGTTTATTCATTCTTTTATACAAATTAGACATATTCAATAAGAGTTTCATAGATTTCAATAAATTTCTATGATAAAAACATTTTACTAAAGGATGAGCATAGTATATTTTGAATCCAACATGAATTCAAACAGGTCTATTATAAATAATCATGAAAATATAAAATAAACATTAATAACACCAGACAAAATCATTGTAGAAATACAAATTTTAGCTAGTACACATGTAGGCCACTTGCTGCGCATATATATTGGTTAATTTATAAAACATACACTTTAAAATAATAACTTTAATCAACATTTTTACGAATAATTATTATTGTACCTCAATCTCCCTATCCGACGCTTCCGGAAATTTTGCAGCCATTACTTAGTCCATCCACGAAAGTACAATATGAAACCGAAAGTGGAAAATTACATAATTACCAATACCTGAAACGAAAGTAGAGATACTCGGGGAATTCCAGAGACATGAACTTCCTCCTACGCGCTTGTAAGTAAATGTTATTCTGTTTATTAAAATTATTAATTACTCTAAATTTTATTGTATATTGATAAAAATTTTGTCAGGTATTTGACCGTGTACAAATAAACGTTTGTTATTTTATATATAACCCGAGCTGGAAGGCGATGCAACACGTACACGGTCATATAAACTGTAAATTGTCTTCTAGTGGTTTTATTGCAATGATTTATTTGACTTGAACAAATACTAAAGTTCATAGTTTACAGCAGTTTACAGCAGACACATTTATATAAAATTAACACTAAGATTCTCGACGTTATATAATAATTATATAGTAAAAGGTAAATTATACCAGTTAACTATATCCACATACTCACTTTAATTGAGATCCAAACAATGTCAGCAGGGGTGGTTTTCATCGTTTTACGATAATGTTATCATATCAGTTATCATTATTTATGTGTTGTATCAATAAATTCATTTATTTTCGTTATTATCAAATATCAATAAAGATATTCATATTGTTATTATGATTAAGATAGTAAATAAGAGATAATTTTAAGAGCATAATCATTATTATTGTTCCTTTAATATGTAGAATTATATTTGTTTCACTCAAAGCAGTTACAAAATGGTTAAAATTTACGAGGTCTGTATAATAATTAATTGTATAAGACCTGTTAAAACACTAAATTGTTGATTCGACACATTCTTATTTGTTTCACTAAGTATACAAATTCGTGTATAGATATTTGTTGAAGGCCTAAGAAGGTTAGAAAAAAATAAAATACATGTACATTTATATCACGATATTTGCATAAACACATATGTGTTATCATCGTTACATAAAGATATTTTATGATAACATAAAGTACTGTTATAGTTGTTGACATATATATTAAATATGACTTTCTTTTTTGCAGTCGAATTTGTTGCTGGTAAATGCTTAATTATCTGCAGAATCATATATCACACTATAATATCCCTGATACTTATCTGTGGGAGGAAGCTTCAAGATAAAGCATTTTATTTAATGAGAGGTGATTGGAGGTATATATGTTTTAATAATTATTGTAACTTAAGATGATCAACCATTGTTTATTTACATAACCCAGTCATACACATAACTGACTATTTCGTTCATTGCTTACTGTATGAAAGGTTTCACTATATGCTTTATGACATCTACTACCAAAACTTCGTTGTTGTTGTGTTGTTGTTGTTGCTGCTGCTGCTGCTGCTGCTGCTGCTGATGTTGATGATGATGATGATGATGCTCTTGTCGTTTTGTTTGTTGATTTTGTTTGTATTTCAATATACAAATACTTTTATAAAAATCAAAGAAGAGAAAGGTAGTCATTGTACACTACAGCAAGGGTAATTCTTGCAGATGTTTGGACTTAATGTTAACTATTAAAATTGCAGAATAATAAAAATTTCGATTGTGTTTTATCGTTTCAGCATGTACAGACAGAATCTGATGGGTTCAGGCATTAGCATGTGTAAAAAAAAGGTAAAGTATAATATTTTTAAACGCTAGATCCTATAGAAATTAAGACTTAATATTAAATATAAAATGCTATATACATGTAAAATGTAACATTGTTCTTGAAAATATTAAAGATATAAATTGTATGCAATATGAACTATAGCCTTATATTATTTACCCCACATACACCAGGTGTGTTATTTATTTAAGTCCGATGAATGTAAAATGAAACATGTACAGAAAGCGAGGTTATTATCATTGTATACTTTAATGTCAATATATTACGACGTTTATGTTTACACTATAAAACGTTTAACCCATCATGCAGATATGAGCCGTGTCATGACAAAACCAACATAATGCGTTTGCGACCAGCATGGATCCAGACCAGCCTGCGCATCCGCGTAGTCTGATCAGGATCCATGCTGTTCGCTATCAGTTTCTCTACTTGTAATAGGGTTGGTAAGCGACAAGCATGGATCCTGATCAGACTGCGCGGATACGCAGGCTGGTCTAGATCCATGCTGGTCGCAAACGCATTATGTTGATTTTGTCGTGACGCGGGTCGTATATATTTCAGGAATATAGCTCAGAGGAGATGGACAACAATGCGTTAGGTATGCAACTACAAGAACAGATTAAAATAAACGGAAGACTTCAAAGCGATTTGGACAGACTACAAAAGACAATTCAAGACCAAAACGAAATGTAATTTTATTAATATTGTGTCATATCTTTATAAAGAATGCAACTTTTAGTTTAGATCTACCACTACCTATACAATTCACAAAACCAAAAGTATACTATTTAGGTAATTCATACTGCCTTTAAAAATGATACAACATTTATGATTTATAAACACATAATTAAAGGTCGACATAAATTTTGAACTTATGTGTTTCATGTATAACTGCTCTGTGGGTAGTACTCCAGTGTAACTAAATGAACTTATTAGCAAAGCGAAGGCAAAGCAAATATCCGTTTTCATTGAATAAAACATTTTTTTTTTTTTAATTTTTATATGTACTTATTAATGAAATATTGAGAAAATTGATAAAATATAATGCGTTTTTTCCCCGTAGTTTCACTGTAAAAATTTATTTTTCACTGCAGTGAAACATATTTTCCTTATTTTCACTGGTGTCTTACCTGACTACTTTCTTCTAAATTCAACCAAGAAACAAAATTAAAAGGGAATACTTCTTATTCATGAGGTTAAAAAAGAGAAAAAGTATATAATAAACAGAAAATTCAAGTTTTTTTCTATTTACACAGAATTTATTTTCATAATTTTATTTTGATAATTTTCATACCACTCGATGAAAATAAATCCTGTATTTATGGAAGAAACTTGAATATCATCTTTTTATGACCGAGGTTTGAGATTTTTCTGATCATTAGATAATCAGCTGCCTAAGACATGTTAAAATCAGTTATAGTTGTGGAATAGTTAGTACGAGATGAAATAAAAGTCACAATTAAAAAAATTAATCATCTTACTGATGGCTCTTTTTTACCTCATGAAACATGTACACTATGTAGGTAATTACAGTTTACAATTACAATTACTCAGTTTCTTTCAATTTATTGTTATTTTAGGATCGAAAAGCAGTTTGGAAAAAACATTGAGATAACTGCGAAAGGTAAATTTAACATCGCCGGAGAAACCATTCAACCAACGACACTTTCAAATAAGTTGAAGAAAATGTTTGATGACGAATGGAGGAATGTAATGATATGTCTATTTCGTGGTGACAGAGAATTAATCGGCATACGGTTTCTTTCTAAACTACTTGAGGTGGGACATGTTCCACATAAACTTGTTTCCATTTGATATATCCATACACCATGTCCAGTTTTCCTACAATAAGGCATAGTTACCCATTGTTCTAGTTGGCATACTTTAATAATGTCATTGGTAGATTAAACATGCCAATTATATCAATTAGTGTAAAGTCAGGTTCAAAAGCTGCTCTATTGTTTAGTTGTAACTTAAGAAATACACGGAATTACCTATTACTATATTCTGACTTTGTATTACAGGACTGCCAGTCATTTTGTAAGGAGAAAGCGTCAGATCAACTAACTAGATTTGTTAATCCCTATCCTGAAGAAACAAGCAATACAGTTGAAGAAGTGAGTACATTTTTAAAATGTTTTATACTAAAATTGGTCTAAATAAGTGGGTAAAGTATATAGGCAACTGATTTTAACCAAGGTAACTTTGCTGCCTCAAATTATTTATATTTATGTTTTATTTCATTATTTCCTTGTGGATTCTCACACGGACGTAATGGTATATGTTATTTATGCAAGACTGTTCCATTGATTGTGTGTACATTTCGTCACATATTCGCAATACTGTTGACATTGTTTAATTTCTCTATGCAGATTGTTCCATCGAAAGAAGATCAGCATAATCTGTACAAGCTACGCAGTATAATTGGTCAACATGAGCAGACTAAACGTAGCATAATCAGCGTAAGTAATTTTGGTTATAGAATGGATTGTAACCGGTAAAAGTTTGACGTCAAAATGAAATAGATGTGATGTATAGGATCCAGGAATATGTGTTTATTTGTATTTAACTTATTTACCCCTTTCACTGAAGACCGGTAAAACATTTTCGTTGATAAAAAGCTTCATTTAATATATTTTAAATCGTCACTTTTACACGAAAAGACTAAGCAATCTTCCGTACCAAATTATAAACTCACCGCCTATAAATGTATTGAAAAATGTTATAAACTTGTCATCTTAGATTGTTTCAAGGTTAAGAAAGGACCTATCTAAATTGTTGAAAAAGCCTTGAAAAAAATACCCGAATACCATTGACATTTTTTTTATACTTTTAGGCGCATGAAATATACATGTGTCCAATTGTTTTTGGATATCCTTTTCGGTTTGGTAAGGTACCGTTTTGACAAATTATACTACATGTGTCAGATATATATGTGCTTATATTGTTTATTTTTCAAGGTGTTCGCTAGAGAATGTAAGAGTAGTGAAGATTATTGCAAGGTTACAGAGGATATCGCAGATAACGAAGAGGCATTGGAATGTATAGACAAGTACGTCAACAACTGCTGTGACGTTTGTTGGCAATGTGCCATCTCCGACCCATCTGTATCTCTCAAATTTGACGTTATTGGCGAAAGATTTGACGATGTGTCGGATATTTTTCAGGAGTATCATTTTAAGGGCCATACTGATGAGATTGGTCAATGTAATACAGTTATGCAGGTTGTATGGCCAGCTGTTATGATGAAAGCCGGGATAGACAATACTGATATTCTTATTGAGAATGCAAAAGGTTATGCTATTGTGTACCCAAGCTCTGCTGTTTAATTAAAGCAAATATTTTCACTAACGTTACCACGTGTGTCATGTACATATTGGATCAAAAAACATACACTTTAAGGAAAGTCATTGTGTAAAATGACGACATTTCATATGTTTTAATGTATTAGATGTTGAACCTTTTATTACCTCTCATTAAAAACTCATCAAACCGAGTCTGCAATTTTTTATCTTTTTATTGTTGTGGTGTCCCTTTTGCCAGATTTTTACGGAATGCCGTTAGGGCCATTGCCTATGAATGTGTTGATCTGAAACGCGATAGTCGATAGAACGATGGTGAAAACGCGAAATCACGAAACTGCGATGGTGAAAATGCGAAAGCACGATGATGAAAACGCGATAGTACGATGATGAAAACGCGACAGTACGATACTACGATGATGAAAGCGCGATAAACTATCGTGTTTTCATCATCGTACTGTTGCGTTTTCACCATCGTACTTTCGTGATTTCGCGTTTTCATCATCGTACTGTCGTGTTTTCATCATCGTACTATCGCGTTTTCACCATCGTACTATCGCGTTTTCACCATCGTACTATCGCGTTTTCATCATCGTACTGTCGTGTTTTCATCATCGTACTATCGCGTTTTCACCATCGTACTGTCGTGATTTCATCATCGTACTATCGCGTTTTCATCATCGCACTATCGCGTTTTCACCATCGTAGTTTCGTGATTTCGTGTTTTCACCATCGTACTATCGACTATCGCGTTTCAGATTAACACATTCATAGGCGATGGCCCTAACGGCATTCCGCAATGCCGTTAGGGCCATCGCCTATGAATGGTTTGATCTGAAACGCGATACTCGACAGTACGATGATGAAAACGCGAAATCACGAAACTACGATGGTGAAAACGCGACAGTACGATGGTGAAAACACGATAGTTTATCGCGTTTTCATCATCGTAGTATCGTACTGTCGCGATTTCATCATCGTACTATCGCGTTTTCATCATCGTGCTTTCGCGTTTTCACCATCGTAGTTTCGTGATTTCGCGTTTTCACCATCGTACTATCGACTATCGCGCTTTAGATCAACACATTCATAGGCGATGGCCCTAACGGCATTCCGTAGATTTTAATACAAAAAGTACAAGCAAATTTTTTTTAATTGCTTACATTTTATTATTTGTACTCCCTTTCAAACTTTCATTAAGAGTAAATCATTTGAAACAATATACATGTAGATATCTTTCCTCTCAAATTATAATTCTTATTTCTTATAAATACACAAGATGAACACTGCAGAAATGTGTTTAATCTTACATTCTTACAGTTTTTTAGTTTGCTTATTTACTCGAATACTCCAGTATTGGTACGAGACGAGTCCACCAGATGCATTTTATCATTTGCTGGCACAATGGTGTAGATCTGTATTTACTATATTCTAAACTCAATGCAAAAATGTAGATTTTCTTATTACACACAATGAAAATACATTAAAAAATAATAAGTTCATGTGTAGGCAAAAGAAATAAAACATTGAGAATGTTATTATAAACTTAAACACTCGTTTTGTCTCGTAATTAAAATTATTAACGCATTTTATGTCAATGACAATGACTCAAACACTTCATTTCCGGTAATTTTATCCCTAGCTCAAATAATAAGCTCAGTGCAGCCAAAGTTAAACGATATTTCAGTTGAGGCGCTATTGAGCTTTTCCTCTTCGTATACTCCCAAAGACGCTGCAAAACTTCCGATACAGGTGCATTCCTGTCCATCTTTCATTATAGTGTCTTTACTTTAACTTGCAAAGATATAAATTTCAATCTGCTTTTGGTCGTGTTCTAGAGGATAGTATTTGTTCGCAGATATCCACACTTTTATTTTTACCTCTTGTCCTCTCAACACATGTGGTGCAAACACTCCGCTTACGTACGAATTCCCGTGTAAGGTAAATTTTCTTGTTCTCCGGGTATTCCGAACTACATGTATATGGAAGAGTAACACCAATACTATACGTCATGCGTACGACACGTAACGTAAGAATCTTTTCATTGTGACCAAACAGAACAGCGCCACGCAAAACCGCCAGTTCACAGTGGGTTGGACGCTTGACCATAATTCCAAGCCTCTCTTCAATAATCACTTTTATTTCATCGTTCATGAAATTTGAGGAAGCAAATCCAACAAGAATAACGGCATTTATTGGCTGTCCAAGTGTCTGTACATTGTTTGCGACTTGTGTTACGTAGGCTATGATTTCTTCTAGTTAAATTTTCATCATTTTGCGCAAGATTTCTCCAATGAACATCTTTCCAAATTCAAACTAAACTTTATCACGCAATATTTCAGTCTGTTTGAGATATAAGGCGAATTCAATTTCCTGTTAAGCTCAAATAATTAATAATTAAGTTTGATATGGATATTAGAAATTCATCACTAGTTCGGCTGTGTCGTAACTTAGGAGAGTGGTTTCTTTTAGCTGTTTCAAATGACACCCTGAAATGATAAAATTCTACTGGGTATTCACGGCTGAATTTGCTCCACAATGATTTACCTAGTATATCAGACATTAAGTCGAAGAATTGTTCGTCAACTTTTTGTCCTCCTGCTGGCCCACCAGCTGCCATGTGTATTTGCTTCATAGTCCCGTCTTTCTTCACTTTAATTGTAGTTATATCAACAGTGCCTCCTGACAAATATAAATTGGTCTAATATATGTTACAACTATTTTTGTACATTTGTATCTCTGAAATATTGTTTTAAATTCGCAAATTAATCCAAAAATGACCTAGACAAAAAACGTGGCATAATTACAAAGCTGCCCATCGTAAGTTACGTGTCATGTGTTCAGTGGACATCCTGTTTGAATAGTTTTCTTACATACAAATATAAACAAGTAAAATAGTGTAAAATATCTATAAAATGTATAATATTATTATCAAATGGGTCAGATAAAATAGGAGAAAATTTGATACCTCCCATGCCAACTATTATATTTGTTGCACCAGGCCCTGTTGGTAACGTTCGATCAATGTCACGTCTCGGGTTGTTTAGTGGATTTGCAGCAGCAGCAGCTGTGCAGTATACGGCGGCTACCTCGGGCTCCAGGGCAATATGGAAATTTAAAGGTATGGTTTGGAATATATAATGACGAAATGTTGACGTTTACGAATCGTATGATAAAAGGATTTGTTTTCGTGAGAAAATATAAGTTTTTGTGACTTTAAAGATAAAATGCCGCATCTCATCGGATAGTGTGGTTATTTTCAGTCAAAATTCACGTGAAGTAAAGCTTGCACAGGGCCAGAAATTTGTTAGCATGCTCCTTTGGATGTTGAATATGAATCCATAACATTGGTTTACTCGAACACAGTTGGGATATGTTAAAATAGATGAATACTTACCGTCTGCCAATTGTGTTTTCTGCAGCGACGGTTGAACTCAGCTGTCTGCCAATGTGACTGTAGGGTGTGAAGATGTTTCATGCTAAATACCTAAGCTCTAACTCTATGAGGTTTCTTTTAAAGAAGATTTTTTTTAAAGTTTTAACTATACACATATAAGGAAAGTCAATGACCCCCCCCCCCCCCGGGCGGGGCTAATTTTGACTCCAGGGATTTTGTTTACTTAAGAAAATATTTGAGTTTTTTCTTTCGGTTGCCATGTCAACCAGAATTCTGCAATTAATTCTTTGAAAAATAAATTTAAAGGTGACCACCAAAGGAACATTCCAGAGAAGTTTGGATGAAATTGATTAAGCATTTTATGAGGAGATGATGTCTTTTAAAGTGAAAGTTTTCAGACGTACCCCGAACAAAAAGCGATCACAATAGCTCACCACGTCACTGTGATAGGTGAGCTGAAAAGGTTGTGTCACATCAATGTCATAAGGCTGCCAGCTGGTTATTAACAATCAGGTTCGGCAGACCATATACATGTATAAGAATTATTTATAACGCACTTTCAGGTTTAATTTGGCATGCTTATTAAATCTGTTTTTCTTATGATGTTCAATAAATGGAATATAATATTATGTCTCTAAATTTTATTTACTAAAATTTTCAGCATGATCATATTAAAGTAGACGCAAATATGAGACCATTTACACATGCGCACTTATTAGTGCTGCAAATAGGGTATAATGACAACAAAGTGGATTTTGTCAGCCAAAAGCAAGTGTTATATACTACTAGGTTTCTAGTTTCCGGAATGGATATTCATTTGGCTCAGTAACCCATGATGGCGTCAAAGATAACCGCCAAACCCGTTGAAAATTATTAATATTGATTTTACGTAAAATCTTTCCTTTATTGGAGGAAAACCTTGATATTTGCTTAATTATTCATCAATAGGCAAAATAATGCTTCAAATATGGTTCTTGCTATTCTGCTATTGAATTCTGTTATAATTGCATACTTCTTAGAAGCAAGTTAGCATTACTTGACTGTATAAAATCATTAAAAAAGAACGAGGATGGCTTCTTGGACATGTATATGTAACAACACAGAGACTGCAACTATGTCAGCGACTATAAAGTTCTTTATAGGTTGTATACTTTGAAACAGAAAGAAATAGTAATCATTAAAGAGACTCCACTGAGGTTTTTTAGAATGATAGAACTTAAAATATTTTTTCAGATAAATGTACCATTTGATGTAGGTTTAGACCATTAACATTTGTGCAAAATTTCAGATCATAAAAACGCTTTTCACACAAATCGAGTTAATAATAGCATAAAATACGATTTTCAATTTATTTCGAAGTTTATTTCTGCATATATTTTAGTTTAAAGTGCCCCAGCTCATTTATGTACGAAAATTCAAATTTTATGTTCTTAGGCTTTTAAACATCAGTGGAGTCGCTTTAAGCAAACGGCAGTGGATAGTAAATTAAGCTGTTAGTAGTAAGCAATGTGCCGTAGGCTGTAAACAGAAGACAGAAGCTAGACACAGTCGTTTGCGATGTCAGCAAAATAGTCGTAATGTGTTAACGTCTTGTATTATAAGATTTACACAGTAAGTAGTACACAATACACAGTCACTATCTAATGTTTGTCTTATGTTGGACAATGTTTCCCATATGACCAACTAGACGTTCAGCTTTCTTGTTGGAGTAAGAACCCCGAGTAGCCACTCTGGTTATTTTCATACCCAAACCGGCACTTGGTTAGAACCACCCGTTTTCCCACCTAAGCAATACGAA